TAAATGGATAGATTTTCTACGTTTCAATCGACCCGGGCCATTCCCCGAATTCTTTTTCCCTTTTTTTCCTCAATTTTCCAACAAAACGTGTCATTGTCAACATCTGTGCAAATAGGGAAATTGTAGAAAAAAGAAAAAAAACCATCAAATTTGAGTTCATTCACGGTGGAAATGTGACGAACGGAAGAATTTTGCTTTAAACTTTGAAATTTCCAGCAAATTTCCAATTATGCTATCACTTTTTGAACTGGTAGGAATGTGGAACTGGCAGAACTGGCAGGAATAAGGCCAGGTCAAGCCTTGAGAATAGATCTAGCTTGAAATTCAACCTAAAGCCAGCTCTTGACCTGCTTTCTGCTATTTCCAAGCCAGAGCTACGCAAAAAAACTAAAAAAAGGCAAACTTTGATCATTTTGACTATGTTTTCCTTATTAGAATGTCAGATTTTTCAGAATTGCTCAAGAGCTGCTTTGGCTTGGCCAGTAAGTTTAGGTCTAATAACAGAAGGGTTACCCAGGAGTCACCATCAGAACTCTAGCATAATTAAAAACACTTATTCTTACATTTTAATATTGCCGTTCTTTTTCAGAGTTCTGTGGCTGCTCTCCGCTTAATAGCGTGCCCCAGCTACCGTACCCTCGTCAAACAATGCGCGTATATAAGGCCATTTCTCCCATTTTTTTTCATTTTAATTCCGCGGAGTGGGATTGTTTTCTTTTGTAACTTTATTTTTGTTTTTTTAATTGTAAGGTTCTTTGCTTATTCTTTAGTCGAGTGATATTTGGTTGTCTGTTTTTTGGGATTTATAAATGACAATGATCTAACTATTATTGGGTTATTGTTTATTGTTATTGTTTGTTGGGACCATGACCTAACTACAGTCGACTCTCGATATAACGATTCTCCCGGGACCCCAAAATGGAATCGTTATATCGAAAAATCGTTGTATCAAGACTCATTATATTGGGAGTCGACTGGATAAGTTAAGTTTTATGTTTAATGGAGTTATTTTATTTCAAAGAGTTCTTTTAGAGGCCAGAGCCGGCAAGAAACATTGTAACGAGAGAAGAAAATTTCAGCCCAGACAACAACAACAATTCCTTCATCAAATAGGTAACATTTAACATATTAATTTAATCTAAACATAGGTATAAACTTTTTCTGAAAAAGAACGGAAGGCATTTGAACTACAAATTGAATTGAGCCAAAGAAATTTCTTGAAAAATAAGCGCAAGATGCCTATTGAAATATTGAGCGATAAAAGTAAATGTTTTAAAAACTCAGAACCGCAAAATTTGCCAAATCGACAATTCAGACAATTGGGCGAGAGCAATGAGAGCCAAAAAATTCAATTGAACAAAACGGGGGGAAATGCGAGAGAGGGGATTGATGTGGATCTAGAAAAAAGGGGTGGGGGAGGGGAGAGTTCGGTTGAGCTCTTCCCAAACGAAAATATTCAGCTCACTGACCAATAAATGATGTTTTCCAATAAAAATGATGAGAGCATCGTTTTGAAAAGTGGCTGATCATGTTTGATTAATATGTCTTAGCTTCCATTTGGGAAACATTAAGAAAATCAATTATTCCTTAAGTTTTTATGCACTTTGTTATCTCAATTGAGCAAGATCTTTTAATGATTCTTGATGTTTTTGACCTTTTTTTGTCAAATAATCAAGGTTTTTAGTTTCAAGTCAAAAATTGAACATGAAAATTGAAGTGACTGGGCTGAAAATTGAAAATTGAACTGACGATGAACGAACAAAGTCTTGCTTCATATATTCTACTTGATTTTTAAGCCTAAAACATAAGTTCAATCTATGTCTCTAATCAGTTTTTTAACGACTTTGTGCGACTACCGTTTCGCCTCAAATTTCACCTCAAAAGTTGACACGTTTTTAAAAAAAAAAAACAGAAAAAAGATTATCAGAATACAGCCGCCCTTGAAAGGAACCTCCTCGGGCACAATAGGAAGACGCAGCTCGACCAAGACCTAAGAAGTACGGATATGCGCCAGCTCTCGGGACTCAGTGATCCAGTGGAAGTGATCGAGAGAAGAAGACTCAGATGGGCCGACCACGTAGCCGATTCCGATAGTCAGAAGAACAGACGACAGATGGACGATACGGATCACAGAGTGACTACCACGAGACCAGAAGAAGCCCATCGGAAGACCAGCAACGAGTTGGAGCACAAGAGTGGCAGCGACGGCAGGGAAAGGATGGCTAGAGTGCAACCACCACCAGCACAAACAAGTCGAAGACTCCGGACCAGGAACAGCCAAGATAGGAAACACTGGATGACAATAGCAAGGAATAGAGACATGTGGAAGCAGGTTGTGAGCACCGAAGTGGAACCTAAAATAGGAACACCTAAGTGCGAAGAAAAACAAAGCAATACAGCCTTTCTATCATAAAAACCGCTCCAAATACAGTATCTTTTAAAAAACCCAAATATTTAGACGTATAAGAGGATCCTATTCACACAGAGAAAACCCGGGTGACCATCTCTTTCCAGTTTTGTTTTTCGATCTGTTTTTGAAACCCACATGTGGGTGGATTAACAAAAAGCTCGTCCAAAGCACAATTGAATCAACAGTGGGATCATTTTTTAGCTCTTTCAATGAAGTTTTTTACGATTTCGATGATCTTGACAAAGTAGTGAAATAGAAAAATATTGTTTAAAGGATAAAACAAGGCTTTAAATCGATGAAATCGATGGCTTGGCTACAGGAGAAATTCTCAAAAATCACCTCCAAAAATTTCATGCAAATTCATTGACATTTCGCTAAGCTAGACCCTCAAAAGTGGTCATGCTGAACAACAGATTTATTGTTTAAGGGAAAAAATATTATATAAAAGATAAAACAAAGCTTTAAATCGATGAAAAATTCAGACAAAATTTCCATGAAAACACTCAAACATTCAAATGAAAAAAAAACTAAAATTCCTTGCGGAAAAATTTTCGGAATCTTTCCTTTTCTGGATTCAATTCCAGAAATGAGCCAGAAAAGGAGGTACAAGTTTTTGCGTGTCTTTTTTTTTTCACGATGAATCGCCGAGATCCCCACCGGAGATTCGCATCGAAAAAATTCGAAATTCGAAAAAGCGATTGGGGAAAAATTCAGAGGGATTTCTTTTATTACGTCATGGTTTTGATTGAGTGAACTTTTTTGAGAGCTAGTTTTAAAAGTTTGACAAATTAGCAAAATACAGAAGTTAAAACCAACTATACGTTGACTTTAACCTATTTAAAGCCAGCTATACCCATTTAAAGCCAACTATACACATTTAAAGCCAACTATACCCATTTAAAGCCAACTCTACTTTGACTTTAAATTGGTTTAAAAACGATTCAAAAACTGGTAAAAGTTTGAATTCTTTTAGGTTCTAATTTATAGATTTTAAGTACAATATCGCAGCAAGAAGAAAATAAAAAAAACGAATCCCCAAAAGAAGTCGAAGCAGCGACTAGATGTTGTCGAATTATTGATGCCTAAAAGCTTGTTTTATCGAAATTTTGCACTTGAATTTTCTCAAGAATCTGTTTAAAAAGTTTTGTAGTCTGAGATTAAGAAAAAATATAATTTCTTGATGGGAAATTGATTGGTGATAGCCTCGAGGAGCTCGGGGCGTTAGACTGAAAGTCGCAAAAACCTGGCTACGCCCATGCTTGGGATCGCCGCGAATGGGTGAATGTGAAAGAAATTTAGAGTTTTCAAGGTAGTTTTAAAGATCCTTTGCAACAATTAGCTTTATTATTGTACGTTTTCGGTTTTGGACTATTCACTATGGCTGTAAGAGGTACTTTTCCTGTAGTCGTTCACCTTAAGCACGATTTTTTGGCTCTTGAATCCGGTAATCCCCGGTTCAGTTATTCAGTTACTCAAGCACGAGTTTCTTTAAAGTTTTTAACGATACGGATCACAGAGTGGCTACCACGAGACCAGAAGAGGCTCATCGGAAGACCAGCAACGAGTTGGAGCACAAGAGTGGCAGCGACGGCAGGGAAAGGATGGCTAGAGTGCAACCACCACCAGCACAAGCAAGTCGAAGACTTCGAACCAGGAACAGCCAAGATAGAAAACACTGGATGACAATAGCAAGGGATAGAGAAATGTGGAGCAGGTTGTGAGCACCGAAGTGGAACCTAAAATACGAACACCTAAGTGCGAAGACAGATCAAAAAAACAATACAGCCTTTCTATCATAAAAACCGCTCCAAATACAATATCCTTTGAAAAACCCAAATATTTAGACGTATAAGAGGATCCTATTCACACAGAGAAAACCGGGTGACCATCACTTCCCAGTTTTGTTTTTCGATCTGTTTTTGAAACCCACATGTGGGTGGATTAACAAAAAGCTCATCCAAAACAATTGAATCAACAGTGGGATCATTTTTTGGCTAATTCAATGAAGTTTTTTACGATTTCGACGATGACAAATTGACAATATCTTGACAAATTAGTGAAATACAAAAATATTGTTATTTACTAGATACTGTATTTGGAGCGGTTTTTGATAGAATGATAGAAAGGCTGTATTGTTTTTTTTATCTGTCTTCGCTTTTTTGCTTTAGCTCTAGTTTCTTACAAACAACTAGTTGTGCTTTTGAATACGTTCTATAAGACTCAAGTTTTATTTTGCCTATCCGAAAATCTCAATTGCATAGCAAATATCATCAAATAAACCGTAAAATATACATCAAAATATAAATTTAAGTGAAAGACATAAGGTAAAAAGTCATTGAGAGTTGAGCACAGAAAAGTTCACTGGATTGTTGAAATGAGAGATAACCGGGTGGATAAAATAAGGCCTTAGATTTAAAAAAAGGAGCGGTAGATATATTTAAGCTCTATGTATGACACGGAAGAGAAAAAAAGGCGAGAAAATAAGAGAATATCTCTGTAATTGATAACGTAGATACGTTCAAATTAGAAGCTAAAGCACTGAAAAAGTGAATGATTGACAATATGAAATGTTTGACTCGTTAAATCCTTAAAAAGTGTAGTCGACTTTCGGAGATTTCCCGCTTGGGCAACCGTTTCCTTTTGTGTGGCCGAATACTGAAAAATGCAAAAGATTTGAAGATTGAACTAACGTTAACAAAGAATTCAACTAGTTTCAACATACAGGGTACATAGAATTATAGCCACTCACTTCTGAGGTTCAGATTGACCACTTCTGAGGGTCTAGCTTAGCGAGAACTCCAATGAATTTGTATGAAATTTTTGGAGGTGATTTTTGAGGATGTCTCCTGTAGCCAAGCCAATTTTCTAACTGATTGGTGCTTCGAGAATCTTTATATGACCATGCAAAGTTGAGAGTCGCGGTACAACTGGCGAAAAACCCAATTTAAGGTTTTTGAGAGTCGTTTTTGAAGTTATTTAACGAAGATGATCACGTTTAAGGCAAAAAAAAGATTAAACAAATAAAACAGAAGATCAAACACCTTATAGAAATTCGATTTTCTCTCGTCGAATTTGATTAAACTTCCTAACAAAATGTGATTAGGGAACCCACTCAAAAATCGACTCAAATCGACAGAAAACCGAATTCCTATAAGGTTTTTGATCTTCTGTTTGGTCTTAAACTGACATGTTCATAAAAAAAAAAAAAAAAAAAAAAAAAAAAAAAAAATTGGTTTTTAAAAAAAGGAACAGCGACTTAAAAATTTGAAAGAAGAAATAAAGATTCTCAAAGCACCAATCAGTTAGAGAATTGGCTTGGCTACAGGAGACCTTCTCAAAAATCACCTCCAAAAGTTTCATACAAATTCCTTGAGTTCTCGCTAAGCTAGACCCTCAGAAGTGGTCACCTTGAACCAAAGATTTTTTACAAATTTGTTTCCTGATGCTCTGGGGCAAAAACCTTGTATAATGATTGGTAAAGCCGTTGTTACCCTAATGATTTTATAAAGCTATCATAATCCTAGTGAAAGTAGAACTGTCACAACAGTGGAGACTCTTGTAAAGCCACGGTAACCCTAGTGAAGTAAAACGGCCGTACCCGTGTAAATAAATCTACCCGTAGCTCTGATAAAAGCGAAGCTACCCTAGCCCTAGATGGAAATTTGTGCTTCAAAATAACTTGACATTTGAGTATTATAGATTGCTTGTAACCTTTCAAACATTGTTTTAAAAAATTTCAACTTTTGCGCAAGCTTACCTTCACATTGCTCACAATATGGCCTCTCTGGAGGGATCACTTTCTTGACTGGTGTTTTTCGATCAGGTTCAGTGGCTGAAACTATAAGACTTGATGACTTGTGGTATTCTAATTTCGAATTTCAGAACCAAACCAAAAAACCAATCTCACCTCCAGGCCACGATGATCCAGTGCTGTTGTGGGAGTGTTCTCGGAACTCGTCGATCATGCTTGATTGAGTTGGGCAATCTTCAGTCTCGTGTGCATCAAAGATCTAGTTAAAGTTGGTTATAAGTTGACTTTGCACCCGAATCGTTCGATTTAATTACCCAAGAACCTAGTTGTCTTGGGAACTAAGCTATGGATGAATGACCAACCTCACAAATGTCACAGTACTTCCTTGGAGCCACTTTCGCCGCTTTCTTCACCGTCAAGCTACCGAAATCGTCTTCCAATCCACTGAAATCGGTTTTTGAATGTTTTTCAACATTCTAGGCACTAACCTGTACCCTGTTTCTTTCATCTTTTTGTTTTCTTTCTCAAGCGTATCATTCTTCTTCTGCATTGTGGCAATGATCGAGTTCAAGAAATCAACCTGAAAAATTTCTTTTAATATACTTTTTTAATCAGCTGAAAAACCTAGCCGAATCAACCGAATTAGCCGAAAAAACTTAACGACAGGCTTTTCTGGCTGGTTTTTTTAGGGCTTAACGCATAGTCGTCGTGGTGCAGTCGAGAACACGCTTGTCTACAGCCCACACGATCTGGGTTCGACCCCCGTAGTGCCACTCAACTTTGACTTTTTTATTTTAAATTCCACAACTATATTATATTTTAACTTTTTAAAAGAATTTCAGCTTTTTGGCCCAAAGATGGCTGAGAAAAAGGCAGAAAAAGGCCGTACAGACGGACGGACAGACGGACGGACAGACGGACAGACACTGCTATTTGATATTTGGTTATCTAGTCAACTAATAAACACCCTTAAAAGAACTATAGATATTGTAAAATAACCTGCTGTTGCAGTGTTGTCACCTCATCGGATGCCGTTCGCCTTTTCTCTGATTCAACTCTGGAACGCGTTGAGTTTTTAGATTTCTAATCAAACCCTTACTTGGCCTCAAGTTCATCAATCCTTTCGACAAATCGTGCTTCTTTTTGCTTCCACGCTTCGTCCAGCTCAAACAAGAGCTTTCTAAACAATTTCACTTTACGTTCACTTTTTCTAACATACACTTTATTTTCCGCGTCATTCTCTCGTTGTTTCACTTCGGTTTCAACCATTTGTAGTCGAGTCAACTAAATAGAGATTGTAAATTTGATTAGGAATCAATTGAATCATCAAAATTCTAATAAAATCAACTGCTGCAGCATAGAACTAAGCAATTATTGATGAAGTTCTGGAAACTTCAATGACTTCAATGACTAGTTTTTACTAGGGAATGGTGTGGCCTGTGTGCCTCAAAGTGACCCTTTGATTCACCAAAAACTAAAAGCGGATTCGAGATCAGCGATTCTATAAGATTGGATAGTTCTTGAATCAAAAGATCACTCTGAATCGGCACCATTCCCTCCTTAGACCTTTTACAAGTCCCACCTCAACTCTCAATGTCTCCATTTCACTTTGTAATTGAGTCTTCTCACTAGAAAGCTGCGAAACTTGTGACGCAGCTGATGAAAGCTCGACGGACACCTGAACATCAACATTGTATTACTTTAGCTTCAATAACCTGCTCATTTGATTGCCCACTGCACTCAACCTGTGACCGTAGAGTTGCCGCCTCTCGCTCGAGTCTAAAATTTGATCCTACTTGCAATTTTCTAGCAAAGCTACCTGTTAATCTCAGTCTCCGAAGTGGCTTTCAAATTTTCAGCCTCGGCTCGAGCCTCATCGAGATTTTTACGGATTTCTTGTTCATTAACAGTCTAAAATATAAAAATCTTGTATGTTTATTCTAATAATAATTATAGTCTTTGCTTTTACGGTTAGAGTGGCTTTGGATTCTTTGATAGAAGCCTGCTTAATTATCAGTCTTGGTACTGAGCGGTGATAGTTCAAAACACCTATAGTAAGATCGTCAAGTCTGATTTTAGTATTGGTTCTAGTACAAAGTTGGTACAGAGTTATTGGCCTTCTCGGTCGAACAAGGCTACCAAAAGTAGAGTTAACTCGAAGTCAAAACGTCAAAAGATTCTAATCTAATTTCTCACTTGCTTACTCGCCTTACTAGGATAAAATGCTAGTCTTATAGTTCCTTTTTTTGCTATAGTAGTTACAGTCTTATAGTTTCTTATAGTTATTGACTGAGATTGAGAGTGAATTGATCGATCTTAATGGGGGTGATGATTGTGATGATCTTGTCCCTTATTTCTATACTAAAAGACTAAGATCTTAAGTAAAATGCTGGATGCATGGATGTGCATTCAAAGCTTTAATTGAGTCAAGGGAAAAGGGAGGTGGCGACTCTAGGACCCAACTCTAGGACCCGGTACCTGTTAACAGCCGAGAGTTAGTCGACTTTTCTAATCTGGTACCAAAGCTTGAGAGTATTCAGTCAATCAATTCATTTCAATTCAAGAATTCGATTCTAAACCAGTTCACTAAACAAGATACTTAACGAGCTGGTGCTAAAGTTACCTGTTTCTGCAATTCCCTTTCCTTATCCTCAAGTTTCCCGGTGATTGTCGCAAGGCTTTGCTGTGTTTGAGCAAGTTCTGACGTCACTTCGTCATGCCTAAATCATCGTTGAAAAGTTCAACTTTTTCACGAACACACAAAACACGCACAATGACACCCAAATTATCAGTGAACAGGTGGATTTTTTTGCGAAAAATCAAACAAAAAGCTTTTGGGTTAATTTCCCTCCCGGATAAACGAAAAAAAAAGTCGATGAAAGCTCGAAAATGACAAGATTTTTGTGCGCTTTCTGAAAAAAAACGTCAACCTGCTAGTATTTTCAACGGGATTTGGTGAGGAGGTTAACTCAAACCTATTAATTTAAGCAGAGAAAGTTATTTCAAATTTCAGCAAAAGTCTCACGTTTGTGTGACCGATTGGTGTTCGCTTCTCAATGCCGCCAATTGACTCACGTTCAGTTGCAGCTCGTTGGAGATCTGAATTGAAATTGTCTTAGTTTAAAAAGAGATCAGGTCAACGTCAAGTTAACCAAGGGTAAACTAGACTCAATTCCAGTTGTTCCAGAATTTTTGGGAAGGGAAAACCAAGCCTAGCGTAAGAGCTAGGTTCTGGGCTGGCTCCTTAGCCTTAGTATCCGGATTAAGTAGGTTAGAAGATTTATTTTGTTGTACCAGCGAAAAACGCTTAATAAAGTTCGCGTTTTCCACGCAATCTAAGCCATTGGCTTTTTGCCAATGGCTGCACAATCTTTTCAACATCATCCAAATCTTTTCTAAAGAAATTCGATATTATCTACTATATCTAAAGTAGACGAGGCATCTGTCTGTCAGTCCACACGTTCGACAGACGGACAGACGTTTCGTCTACTTTAGATTCTTTGTTTTTTAGTGTTTCTCATCTATGCTAACTGGAACGATTATGGTTTCACAATGACAATGATGTGATCGATCAATAGATCAATAGCTCAATAGATCAATAGCTCAATAGATCAATAGATCAATAGACAATCGATCAATAGATCAATAGATCAATAGATCAATAGATCAATAGATCAATAGATCATTAGATCAATAGCTTTTCGTTCGATCGATGGCTTTAATGAAAACTTCTGTGGTGAATGAAATGAAAGAGTGATCGTTATCTGGTAATTTTCTTTTTATTGTTATGTTTAGCTTTAGTTCTTTAATTCTTTAGCTAACATTACCCTAAAACAGCCCACAGTCCACAAAATAATCGTACTTTTTTCCCAGATAGTGCCTGTGTTTGTTTAAAATACCTAGAGCCAAGATCTGAGCATCTGATCTAGAATTTCTAGCCTTACTGTCCCTGGTTTAACCTAGTCTGATAACCTTAACTTGCTTTAGTCTTGATCTTATTCCCATTTTTGTTTTTGAAACAATTTTCCTCCCAAACCATCACCTTTTCTCTCTCCGCATCACTCTGTTTCTTCTCTTCGCTCATCTTTGCTAAAGCTTTTTGTGTATCCGATCCAATTGCCAATTGTTCAGCCATTTGTTTCAATTCGCTTTTCAATGAGTCAACTTCTTTCAGTTTTGATTGTTCGGAAGCATTTCTGAAATAGTTTAATGAAAAAAAAAAATTGGCTTTCACTCGTTGTCTTGGGTTGCAATTGAATTTAAAAGAAAATATTCAGCTTTCAATGATTGTTACCTTTCATTTTGTGATGTTTCCATCTCAGCACGAAGTAGAGCAACTTCATTCGCCAGTGAAGAGCACTTTTGTTCACTAAATTTGCATAAGAACAGTTTTTTTTCTTTTAGAATATCAGAAAATAGAAAGTTTATTCCATTTTGGACAATTCTCAATGAATTTCGTTCGTTAAAACAGTGTTGTTAAAGATGAAAAGTCAAGGCAAGTCAAACCAAGCCAAAGCTTTTCAATTGGCTTGCCCTGGAATTCAAGGCTTTATTGGCTTGCCTTGGAATTCCAATTTACCGTTGGGTTTTCGATTGGCCTGGAGAGCTGGCACTTTTGCCAACCCTGGTTACAAACCTTTCTCCCTTTTCAGCCTCTGCAGTTGTTTTCGTTTTTTCAAGTTCTTCTTGGAGTAGGGCCATTTCAGAAGATCTACAGAATAATTTCATTAGCATCAACCTTTTCACTTACATTTTCTCATGTTCAGTTCTTTGAATGAAAAGCTCGTTCTCCAAAGCGGTCAACTTGTCACTCGTTTCTTTTAGTTGTTCTTGTGCACTGAAATAGATCCATTTTGTCTCAAATCCTACTCAGTTTACCTTTCTTTAGTTGATTTCTCAGTTTGCAGATCTGTTCGTAGAGTTAAAACTTCTTTCTCAAATTCAGCAGCTACAACAAGTTGTTCTCTCGTTGTTGACAGTTCAGCTTGAAGCTTCGCATTCTCAGAAGATCTAAAAATAGGCATTCAGTTGAACAATGGACTTATGAAAGTTTAAGTGTTCTGAAGTTGCTTCTGATTTTCAAGCCCAAGGTCCTGAAGACTCAGGTATTTCTCTCTTTCTTTCTTCTTTCCTTCTTCCCCCTTGTCTTTTCCTCTTTCTCTTGACAAGTTAAGGTACCGGATAGCTCAGTGGTTAGAGCAAAAGCAAAAAGGAAAAGAAAGAAAGCCAAAGATCTAGGATCCAAAGAAAGAAATCCAAAGAAAGAAAGCCAAAGATCCAAAAATCTAGCTTTTCTTGTCTCTGTCTTTGTCAATTCCTTCCTTCTTATCAGTCAAGTTAGTGCAAGATACAAACGGATTACAGTAACTATTCTTGCCAATTCCTTCACTTCCAATTACTTCAAGCTTTAAATGCTAGAAAATTCAGCTTATTTGTGATTCTATTTAACCGTTAAATAGTCTAGTCACTGACAATTCTTCCCATTCGGTGCTTTTTGTCTGCAGCTTCATATCGATGGCGTTCAACTCCTCATTGGCTTCCTTCAATTGTGATTGTACTCTGAAACAGTTAACTTTTAATCAATAAAGGATTAAAGCTATAATTCTTTATTGATTTATCATTAAAAAAAGATTTACTACGACTCAAACTTTAACTTTCAACTTACCCTTCTTTGGCTAATTTCTCAGTTTGTAGCTCTGTTCGAAGAGTAGCAGCTTCTTTCTCAAATTCACCAGCTGCAGAAAGTTGTTCTTTTATGCTAGAGAGCTCTGTTTGAAGGGCAACATTTGAAACTTGTCTATAAATTTATCATTTAACGCTTGATCTGAATAAATCACTTACAGCTTTTCATGTTCGCCACCCTTCACAGCGAGCTCCTTTTCTAAGGCTGCCAATTTTGTTTGATTCTCATCCATAGTTGCTTGCATTCTGAATGATTTTGCATATTATTTTAGTTTTTAAATCCACCTTTTCACTGTTGACTGATGTTCATTCTTCAAAATCTCTAATTGGCCAACGCTTAGCTTTAAATCATTGGAAATCTGAAATAGAACTATGCAAGGGTTAAGCTTTTCTTTTACCTTTGTTCGATCGGCCTCAATTTCGAGTTTTTCTTCGCTCATCCTGACCAAAGCCTGTTGAGCATCGGAGCTGAAAAGAAGAACAATAATTGCTACGAATTCTCAAGAAACAAATAAGGTTTGAATGCTTTGGTAGTTGGAACAGGCCACTTTTGGCTTAGCTTTGTCGAATCTAATGTTTTGAGCGCTTTACGTCGATACTTTTCTTCGAATTTATGGTAATTATATATGCTGAAGCGATTGGTGCTAATTTTAGAGTATTTCCAATATGTTTCAAGTTAGTATTGCAGCTTTCCAAATGTAATCAGCTTTGAGATAACGTTTGGTGGTTAAGAACACAGGGCAAATCATAGGATCACCAAAAACGTGCTTAAATTGGCACCAATCGCTTCAGCATGTATCTCTTTCTTCAGGATAGAAGAAAAGAAAAGAAATATGAACTGCTCAAAACACTAGATTCGACGAAGCTAAGTCAAAAGTGGCCCTTTCCAACCATCAAAGTACCAAGGTTTGACTAGGTTTGACCCAAAAAATTCACGGGTTGTTTAGAAATCGAGAATAGAAATCCGTTTAGAAATCTAGAATAGAAATCCGTTTAGAAATCTAAAATAGAAATCAATTTGGACTATCTCTAGTCATAAGGGCCTAATAATGATCAAACCAACCCTGTTTCCAATTGTTGTCCCATTTGTTTCAACTCTGCTTTGAGGGCATCAATTTGTTTGCTGTTTGCTTCATCAGCTAAGATTCTAAAACGATTTTAACTCTAACTTTTAACAATTTTAACTGAAAGTTCTTATCAAATTCAGTTTTGTGATCTTTTTCTCCAAAGCATACTTCTCATTTTGCGCCGCTTGAATCTCGAGTCGCAAAGCGGAGATTTCTTTGGCAAGTGTTGAGTTTTTCTGTTCTCTAAATTTGAAATTAAAAATCATTAAGAAAATGACAAACATTTCGCTTTTCTCAGCCTCGAATCCCATTTTTCTCTTCTCGAACTCTTCTTGCAAACTAGTTGATAGAGAAAGTCTAAAAATTTTGTTCAAAACCTTGACTTATAAGTTTAAATAGACTCATAAGACTTATAAGACTTGCCTTAAAAGTTTAATTGTTCAATAGAAGCGGCAAAAGAAAAAGAAAACCCACAATTTCTCATGTTCATCCCTTTTCATCGACAAATCCTTGTCCAAGCTTTCCAGCTTATCATGCGCCTCTTTTAGTTGTTGTTGCACGCTGAAATGGAGTTAATTTAAATTGACAGAACTGCAAAACTGCAAAACTCACCCTTGATGAATTGACTTCTCGTTTTGAAGATCTGTTCGCAAAGCCAGAGCCTCTTTCTCAAATTCACCGGCTGCAACGAGCTGATCTTTTGTGCTGGAGAGCTCTGCTTGAAGTCCAACATGGTCAGCGTGACTATAAATTGTTATCAATTGATTCGATTAAATGAATCAGGAAAGTTTTTAGCAAGGAGCAAATCAAGATCACCTCTCTAACCATAGACTAAAAGATAAACTAAAAATTGGTTTCCAAATTTATCTAAAAGTTTAGATTAAGTTTCATTTGGTTAGCAACAATTAAACCCGTGTTCCAATTGGTAAACTCAATAAAATGAACATCTCCTGTCGATTCATCGACCCCGAAAACCCCCGGGTACAAATATATAATATCATAAGCTCCATTCGATTTTCTATCGAATGAGCTAGGTCTTGTTTCGAAATCCCACGTTAATTTGCGAATTACTCACAACTTTGCGTGTTCCGCACTCTTCACATCATGCTCCTTCTCCAAAGTTGTCAATCTCATCTGAGTCTCTTCCAAAGCTTTTTGCATTCTGTATTCCATTTTTGGTATTCAAAATGGCTTTAAAACCGACCTTTCCACTGTAGATTGATGATCCTTCTTCAACGTGGTCATCTGTTCCATAGTCAATTTTAACTCACTGGTAATCTGAAAGAGTATTTACAATTGGATAATCCTTTAATCCATGTTAAACCTTTTCTCGATCTGCTTCAATTTGCATCTTTTCTTCACTCATCTTAACAAGAGCTTTTTGAGTGTCGGATCTATAAATCACAAATATCATATTCCCACTATCAGCCAACAAACCCAGTCTCCAACTGTTGTCCCATTTGCTTCAATTCAGCTTTGATAGCCTCGACTTGTTTTGCGCTTGCTTCATCAGCCGTTTTTCTGAAAAATCTATTGAATTTGAAGTATTGAAGTAGAAGGTTTTTTTTGAAGGTTTTTTTGAAGCTTTTTTGCGAGTATATTTTTATCCATATCTAGCCTATCAATAGAAAAGATTTACCTCTCATTCTGAGCCACTTCAATCGCTGTCCGCAGTGCAGTCACCTCTTCGCTCAAAGCAGAATTCTTTTGTTCACTAAATTGTATGTGTTGAAATTTGAGCCTTCCCCGACCTGTCTTTGCTTGACTTTACTGCAAGCCTGGCTCATAGAAAGCCTCAAGTTCACTAGAAACTAGGCCCTAGCTGACTTTTTGCTTCTTAAGCAATTGCTCTAACCACTGAACTATCTGGTATCTTAACTTGCCTAGAGAAGAAAGAAAGAAAGACAAACTTACATTTCTGCTTTTTCTGCTTCGAGTTTTTTCCTCAAGTTCTCTGTATCAACTTGCAGAGTTGAAGCTTCGGAAAGCCTAAACTTTAGGTTAACTTTATACTTTTCGATATTAAACAAACAGTTTTTCATGCTTATCTCGTTTCGCCAATAGATCCTTATTCAACGCATCTAGTTGACTCTTCGATTCAGAGAGTTGTGATTCAAAACTGAAAACATTATTGTGATTCTTTTCAAATTTCCCGAGTTTCTTTAAAGTACTGTAGAATTATGATCAGTGTTTTATAGTAGTTTTTAATAAATTTTGAATTTTTAAAGTCACCTTTCTTTACTCTTTTTCTCATTTGAAAGTTGTTCTCGTAGAGTCGTCGTTTCTTTTTCGAATTCATCGCTCACTCCAAGCGCTTCCTTGTTTTTCGAGAGCTCCGCTTGCAGATTGGTGTTCTCAGAAGTTCTAAAGTTATTATGAAATTCTAAAATTTAGCAAAATACAGTACATTTTCTCAAATTCCTTTGTCTGCTCCTCTCTTTGCTTCTCGATTTCAGCTAACTTTCGTTTTGACGCATCGAGCTCTGTGGCGAGTCTGCAAATCGAGTTTTTATCAAATTTTCAATTTCAACTGTAAATTTCTTGTTTACCTTGTTGAATTTGTTAACTCTTGATTCAATCTGCTGTTCAACTGCATCAGTGCTTCTTGTTCTTGATTTGTCGCATTTGCCGTCAACAACATGTTTTCGGTGAAAACCTGAACTTCAACTCTTTCTTTCTTTCTTTCTATTCTAAAGACGTTCCAGAAAACATAAGCTAATTTTTATCTTTCTTAGCATAAACAGCTTTTAAACTCATTTCTTATCAAGTACAAAAACTAATTAGGTTTCGAACGACTGATTAGGTGGGGTTTCAAACAAGACCTAGCTCATCCGATAAAAGATTAAATCCATCCAATGCTCCGATATTAATGAGACTAAAACTCATCCAAAATTCCGTGGATTTTGATCAAAGGTTCGGTTTCCCCGTTTGATTTTTCATTGATAAGAGAGATCTCGTTTCGAAACCACACAGTGATCTAGTACTCTCTCCTAATAAGAATTAGAGATTGACATCTCAAATTCCAGACAATCAGTCTCACCTCCAATTGTTTCCTCGCTTCCTCCAGCTCTTCATTCACTGTCTCTCTATCGACTTTCAACTCATCAATGCTGAAGAGAAGCTCCTCGATTTTCTTCTCCCTTTCAGCAATTGTTGTTTTCAAAGCATCAGTTACCAGCTTTAACTGATCCCTTTGAGCGGATGAGTCCTGAAATTGACAATGATTTTTGGCAAATGCTCTAATAGAACGCTATCCCCATAATGACGGGCGTACATTCGCGTAGTCTAACTTTAAACGTCTAATCTCATTCAAACCCACCGTGCTTTCCTGTCTCTGCAATATTCTTGCCATTTCCATCTTTTCCATTTCTCTTTCTTGCATCATTTGCTCCAAATGCTTTTCCTTTTCTCGGAGTGCTTCCTGAAAATCGAAAATTTTACAAGAAAGATAAGTTATTTCACCTGTAAAGCATGAACGGTTCCTTCCGGTGGTGGAGTTGGTTTCTGAATCAAGTTTCTTTGCTTTACTTCATCTTGTATATGTAAAGTACAAGCGCTAATAGTGAGGCTCGCTAAGATCTTGTTAAAATCAAGGATTGTGGTCAAAGAGTCTTCAAAACGCTTGTCTTTAAACCAAAAAAAACACGTGACTGAGAAATCGAGTTTTGGAGTCTATGATTTCCGAAACTAGAAGAAGTTTTTCTGAAATTTTTCTACCATTGCAAATTGTGGCCGTCGAACAGTTCCAATTCGACTGCTAGCCAAACTGCTGGCTCCAACGCTGCTCAACGATTCGCGACTTCCGCCCATTCTTTTCTGTTGATACCGAAGAAGTGAGGATTTGGTGTGACGAGTCTGAATTGATCGTTTTAGTTTTTAAAACATTTTTTTTGACACAGTTCAGATTTGCGCAAGATGGCTGACTGGTTAGGAGTCTTCTCTACTAATCGGAAGGTCAAGGATTCGATTCCCGCTGGCGAGAAAGCTTTTTTTCCATTTATATGGGTTTTTCTTAACAATATTTGGGCAATAGGAGTTGTGTGTTGACAACTCAACAATTCTATTGGCAGGCTATTCTATTATGTTTTGTGTCTCACATTATTCGTGTTGAATGAATGTTTTTTTTTTGAAGACGCAAGTTCACTGACCATTAACATCTTCGATTGGACGAGTTCGGTTTTCGCAGCCGGCACAAACAGTCCATACATTGGTTTACACTCGAAATAGCTGACTCCCTAAAAATTCTGTTAATAAAGTAAAAAAATAAATGGCAAAGAATTTGGAACTGAGAGGGGATTGAACCCTCGACCTACTGCTTACTGCAGAGGTGCTCCTTTGCACCTGAGCACCTGAGCTACCGGTACCTCCTTTGCGCAAGAAGAAATAGAAAAGACAAGGAAGAGAGAGAGGAAGAAAGAGAGGGATGTTAAGAAAATGTTTCAAACTCTTTACCTGCACAGATCCATCATTCTTCCCATTCGGTTGATCGAGCTCGATCCCAGCCCAGACACCCGTTGCGAATTTTGTGACATCCAGAAATCGCACTGTTCCCAATTTTCCACCAGCCACATTCACTTTGTCACCGACGTCGAAACTGAAGAATACTATTTGAATGTTGAAACCGATGGCAAATATTCAGCTGAACAGCTGAACATTCAACAGAACAGCTGAGCATTCAACTGAACAGCTAAACATTCAACTGAACAGCTGAACATTCAACAGAACACCAACGTACCCAAATTCAGCTGCATGCGGACTAGTTGGTTCGGACGGTGTGGGAGCAACTCGTTTCAACTTCCCGGCTTTACAAAATAGGCCGTAGTTCGGATCACACTAAATTGAGCTTTTGAGTGACGCGTTTTCGAAAAGAAAATCAACTTTAGAACGCTACCGTAATTAAGCGTTTAAACCCAGGGATATAGCGTCTAAAAATTGCCTCAATAAGTACTGGCTGAGTTAATTTTGGACCTTAACCCACATCAACTGCTAAATTTAGCAAAATTGCTTTGGTATTTAGCACTTAGGATTTGGCAAAGTTGTAAATGGTAAATTGGAAAATCGATTTCGCAAATTGGTAAATGCTAAGCTGGTAAATCCGTTTAGCAAAATTGCTAGATGGTAAATGGTAAATACAGGGTTGGGCACAATTATCGAAACTCGGTTTTTCGACTGTAACTCGACACGACTTCGACGACACGACACGACACGACTTCAATAATTATCCGATTCTCCTAATTTCATATTTATATGAAATTTCACGTGACTTTCTGCGATTAATTTCAATTTTTAGTTCAGAAGCATAGTGTTATGCTTTTTATAGTGCTTCGAAGTTCAGAGGTGTCAACCTCTCAACAAAATCATCGTTTTCGACAGTTTTCAATCAAGAATTGCCCACAAATCAACCAATTCTTTTGGTTTTTTCCACTCTTTAGTTAAATTTAGACAAATATCACAAAAATAAATGCATTGAATTTGCAAGAGGCAAATCAAGAATGATTTGGGGAGTACAGATCGCTCAACTCTGCTCAACTTTCAGGGAATTCAACTATTGGCTCTCAATTATTGAATTATTGAAATTTTTCTGAATCGAAATACTCCAGATAATTCTATTTCTTAATAAAAAAAGCAAAAATGAGTAAATACGAGGCGGGAAATTCTTCAAAATATGTGCCAATCCTGACAAACAACGATTCTGCCGAGAGGCAAGAACCTCTGAACTTCGAAGCACTATAAAAAACATAACACTATGTTTCTAAACTAAAAATTGAAATTAACCGCAGAAATTAAGTTGAAATTTCATATAAACATGAAACTAGCGGAATCGGATAATTGGGCGTCGAGTTACAGCCGAAAAACCGAGTTTCGAAAACTGCGTCCAACCGTGTCGTTTGGTGGAACCGGACCAGCTCCACTTCAAAACTCACCTCAAAATATCGTATCCCCTGCAGTGATCCATCATTTTTCCCAGTCGCTTCGTCGAGAATCAAACCGATCCATTCTCCTTGTGCGAACTGTGTGTTCCCAATGAAGGCGATTGTCGCAGCTCGATTCTCGATCTCTACCCGATCACCAATCTAAAATACAATAAGCTATTGCGGTGTTATTGTAGTACCTCAAAGTTGCCAATTCTGCTCGCATTCGAGGCGCTTGATAAGATTGATTCTCGACCTAGAAATTAGGGGAATTTTTGCAAAATAGTTTCCCCCAACTTTCTGTCCTCCTCAAATGCGACATCTCCCTTTTGCGACGAAATTTTGGCGGGTAAATGAAATAATGATCTAAATTTTGTACGAGATTTTGCCATAAATGAAATAATAATCTAAATTTGATTTAAAAGATAAGTTTATTGTAAAATAAAACGGCAAATTTTACATTTAAAAAGAGAAATTTAATGGCTTTACTTTAGTTTGACAAAAATCGTAATAGGATTCAAATGATTAGACAAGATTTCGACCAAAAAACCAAACAAAACAAAATATTGAACAAATTAAGAATTGTAAATCGTTTTAAGAAAGGAAAAATCGTGTCATTTTCAACATAAAATCCAACTTTTCCTATGTCAAACACGATTTTCAAGATTTTCAAGTGCTTTTTTTGTGGGAAACGTCAAGTACACTGTTTTACAAATGACGATGGGATTCAAAAATTGCGGGGTAGGCTAATTTCCGCCTTTTTATTTGCGCAAGTACGTTTGCGCAACTTTTCATTTGCGCAACAGGGTCATTTGCGCAACTTTTCATTTGCGCAACAGGGTCATTTGCGCAACTTTTTTTGACGTTTTTAAGGGACTGGCGTGAAAGCAGAGCGGTGCGCTTTACGTTTGAGTTCGTTTGCGTTTAGGTACGTTTGCGCAACTTTTACGAAGAAATGACGCAAATAATCAACCGTTTCAAGCTTTCATCGACTATCAATCTCACTGTTGGACAAAACTACGCACAGAAGAAAACTGTATTGGCTCGACAAAAGCAACGTTTTACTGCTACTTCTAATGGTCGCTTGCCCGGTTGCGATTTTGTGCAACACCTTTCTCAGCTTTTGACTTATATTAAAAAATTTGATTTTTATTGTTGTCCTAAATTTCATTGTTATCGGTTGCACTTTTTTGTTAAAGCAATAAAATATTTTAATGGTTATTAGCTCCTAGAAAGGACTAATTTAGATAAATATTGGAAGATTGCGCAAAAAAATTGGAAGATTTCAGAAAAAATAAAAAAAAACAATAAAAAAAAAGCTCAAAAATGAAAATAATGATTAAAAATCCGAGTACTTAATACAATGTTAAAGTTGCGCAAATGACCCTTTTTGTGCAAACGTACTTGCGCAAATGACGCAAATAAATTGGCGGAAATTAGCCTATCCCAAAATTGCAGAGAAAAATTAGTCGCGAAGAGAAATTATTGAAAAATCAACAAAGTTAGCGAAATTTTGAGGGTTTTATATAAAAATTTTGAAATGATATGAAAGTTTTACTGAGATTTACTAGAAATAGCATAAAATTCAGAGATTTTCACACATTTTTGCCACAAAAAGAAGACCAAAGACAATTTTTATCGAATTGACGAATATTTTGAATGCAAAAGCCTACAATTAGTAATTGCTCAAAAGCAGAATCCATGCAATTGTGCAGGATTTAATTCGCAATCAATTATTAAACGATAAAACTTCGATAAAACAACCCAAATCTTGAGTACACAGGATGACCAGAAATAAAGTTGCGGGATTTTCGGCAGCCCAAAATCCTCAAAATTTCAATTTTGGGGGACAAATTTATTTTTAACCTATTCTCTGTGATTGTTTTTATTAGTTTCTTTGCGGTTTTATTTTTTTTCAAGTCTATTCATTTTTTTAATAGGGTGACAAACAAGGGATTTGCCATTCTGAAGCTTCATCGTCAAGGTCAAGGCGCGAGTGCGATCGCGCGATTCCTACGTGTTTCTCATCAGCTCGTCTCAAAAGCGATTAAGCGATACAAGGAGCTTGGCAACGATGGAGATCGTTCAGGAAGAGGCAGAAAAAGAACAGTCAACACCTCCAGAAATCGCAAAGTGATTCAGAAGCGCGTGGCCCGGAATCCACAGGCCTCAATGAGAAAGATAGCTCGACAGACGGGGATCGCTCGGGAATCGGTTCGACTTATGGCCAAAAATGAGCTCAATCTTCACCCTTACAAGCTCAAGCAAGGGCAACAACTCGACGACGACAACAAACGAGTTCGACTCGTTTGTCAGGGTTGACCAGGGAATAGGATCGAGCCACTCCGGCCGAGCTGCGGCCCATCGCCGAAAACTTCATCAAGCGTTTGAGGCTCTGCATCGGAGCCAAAGGTGGCCACTTTGAAGAAAAGTAGATTTTATGCTCTCTTTATATCATGTTGTTAATAAAAAATTGTTGTTTCTGTTGGTTTTTTTGGTTTTTTTAAAAATAGGCTAAATTAGGCCGCAATGTTATTTCTGGTCACCGTGTATTATTGTATTTTTGATTGTAATGTAATTTTCTTTCTTTCTTTCAATCTCCAATCTTTATCGACAACAAAGATATGGTTCTTGTCCGGGTTTTCGCGTGAAATCAGTAACACTCTTCTCGCATCGATCCTTTCCTGGACATTGTTCATCGACTGGCTGTGTTGGATCGCATAGCATTGGTAAGAGCGGGGTGTTCCATGAGGGACAAACTAAAAAATGACGTTAAATGGTTTGATCAATAGTAGTACAGTTAAACTTTGCCGTAGACATGGAGACTACAAACGCTTCTAATTTGCTTTAAATCTACCGGATTGAAATGATCTATAGCTCCAAAAAAAGAGAATCTCAAGAGCTTTCGAATGGACTAAAGCACACCGAAAAATATTAATTCTAAAGAAAGTCACAATGGTTTGTAGCCTGAGTCGATCGCTTTGACTACGAGCGAGTACGGTTCGTTTGTAGTGAATGAAGCGTTTGTAGTGTGATAGTTTGTCATTTTTGTAGTTTATAGTGCTCCTGTCTAATTTACAGGTTCAATACATTGCTAAACAGAAGGGATTCACATAAACATATCTTACTATAACCAATCTTTATATCCAATTCAATACCAATCCCCATATTTTGAGATGATCAAGTTTATGTGGTTTAGTTTAAGAGTCATGATCGTTTCCTCTTTTTTCTTCAAGTAAACTAACTTGGCTGAATGGCTCCCGGTCGTGGTGCACAGCAAATGTGTTGATTGGCGGCGAGACTGAAGATACAGGCGGCTCTTGGATCAGCGCATTTCCCCATTCGACATGTGCCAAGTGAGGTCAAGAATGGATGCACACAAGTTGTGTCGATTTCTGGAAGAATTTCGATGAGAATACAGAGTTAGATGAGAATACAGAAGTTTTCGTGAAAAACCTAGTTGGTTTTTCTCAGCGCTTGCGTGAGAAACCTAGTTGAAGTACCAAATGAAAATCACAGAAAGCCGAGTACTCGTAATCGCTTTTTTTTCTCTCATAATTTTCTACCATATTTTCTACCATATTTTCTTTGACCAATAAAAGATCAGACCTTTAAAACTGCTCTAGTTACAGTAGTTTTAAAGGTACAGTTTTGAGTTTATAAAAGCTTTACCTGTTTCTGTCATTGCTAATAGAAGAAAACTCGAGAATATCACCGTAGAGAACATTTTTCAAAGAAGAAATTCCTTTTAGAAACACTTGGAGCTAAATTTAGAGTCGAACCCGAGAATGGTTTCCCCTCTTTTTTTGCCATTTTTCTATTCACGCACATCTTTTATATGCTTTCTTTTCTTTTGTGGATATTTGTCCTGGCCGATTTGAGAGCTAAAGAAGGGGACAACGTGAATGGGACAACTGAACAAATCAAAAGGGAATTTATTTGAAATGTCCAGAGAATTTGGGCTATTGTTCTCGAATTGGACACAAGAAACGTGACAGAAAAAGAAAATATCCGAAAAATTCGTGGGTTTTCGTGTTTTTGGCATCTGGAAACTATGTTACAACCAAAAAAATGTACACTTTTTAGACAAAAATCTGAAATCCGCTTCTGAGATCTTTACGGTTATAACATTCTTTTGGAATATCTCTAGAAAAAGCTGTTTCTGTTCAGGGAAATTCATTGGCTTGATAGGTTACAGCCTTATTCAACGAGTTTACTTCATAAACGAGATCTTTACGGTTAACGGCGCGGGGGTAGCGATTATCGACGCGCCAATTTTTTGACCAACTTGCAGCTCATTTTTAAGCACCTTAAACTTGTCAGATCAGGAAGTTTTAAAAAGATTTAGATAGCTTAAAACGTCAGCTTTCAAAAACTATTTGTTTTATCAAAAGTTATTAACATAAACTTGTATAAAATCCGGCTAAAATACAGGGTTTCTCAAAACTATCCGCACAACTTTTTGGAAAATTAGTTTTCGCACGCTCAATTTATTTCAAAATGCCAAGTGTTATATAGAGGATTGTAGCTCTTGATCTTGGCTACATTTATCTACTAAAAAATACCCAATCGGAGGTTTACAGCACATTTAACAAGCCCTTGAATGAGCACTAGTACCCAAGGAGGAAATAAACTGCAAAACTAAAGACAGAAGCTAAAACCAAAAGCTAAAGCAAACCAAAACCAAGCTAAAAGCACATGGCAATGACAGTGCAAGCCAAAATTTTGCTAAAGTTCAGCAATCTTAAGTTTTGGATTTAAACTATTTAGAGTTTTACTCAAGATTCCTCAAGTCTAAGAATATTAAAAAAAAAAATCACAATCAGTAAATCTCTAGCTGTTAAACTGTTAAACTAGTTTTTAGGATGTTAAATTACGGTAACCCTACAGATCATCAAGCATCCTGTAATCCCCTTAAACTTTTGATCATTTTTATCAGTATGAAATCATTTCTCTTTAGTTAACCTTTCTTTGAGTGTTATTTCAAAGAAATTCTTTTCTTTCCCAAAAAGTTCACTCACAAATATTTGCCTGCAAATATGACCGCCTTTTCTTCAGAAACGCAGACAACTTGTTATGTAGTTTTTCGTAAATTTGGTTTTTATCATAGTCAAAAGTCAAAAATCTTTAAAAAAAACGATTTATGTACAAGAAACCCGTATTTGGAAACATTTTTGAAAGATGAATCGGTGAAAATGAAAGAGAAAAGTTGTAAAGTCAACAAAAAAAACCGATAAAATTGATGCCCCAGATGGGTGGTGTTTGAAAGGTTTCGCGCTAAACATGATAGATTCGACTTCCAACGGGGAAATTGTGATGTCCGTTGAGGGATTTCAAGTTGTAACTTCTCGTCCGACGATCAGGACATGGAGTCTCTAAGAGGACACCGCCAGATCTGAAAATAGGACTATTTAGCAAAGAAAGAAACAAAGAGTTTCCAAGATGGACAGTACTATGATATAAAAGTTTATGATCTATTCTTATCGTAGTTTTAACTAGAGTTTTTCCCTTGCGAGTAATACGTTTTTTTTAAACGCTTTTTAAAATAAGGAAGCTTACTTCTGTCAGCTCCGAGCCAAACTGATATTTTAGTTACTATTGTTATTATTGAATGATTTGTCTATTCGTATGCAAATGTGTTCTCCTCTGTGCTTATCCCTTTGATTGCCGAGAAGGGACGGTCCTTGGGGATTGGAGGACAAGTGAGACTCTCATTTGGAGTCCCCCCTTCCCCTTATACTCATTTGTAATCTATTCGTCTTATTGTACTACTGTAAATAAAGATACATATCTTCCGGGTCTATGCAACTGCAGTACAGGTCGGTCATTTCACAGGGACTCCCCTCTAATACGTTGGAGGAGTTGAGTTGGGTTGTCGGGGTGTTAGAGATGGCGGGATATCAAAAGGGATCCACTCTTTTTAGCTTAACCCAAATTCTAGTCCACATCCGTTTATACCTAGGAACGTATACTTCTTTGTTGTGTAATCATTAAAGAATAAAGGAGAAAACCCCAGATCAAAAATACGCAAAAAGAATGAAATGAAAGAATTAAATAAAAGAATTAAATAAAAGAATTAAATAAAAGAAATGAAAGAGAATGAAATGAAAGAGAATGAAAGAATGAAATTCTTCCTTTTATACCTGCAAATTAAGAGGAGTACGGTAGTTTTTGCCACACTTTAAAGTACAATGTCTTCCACGCGAGTAATACGTTTTTTTCAAACGCACACTTGCGAAAAATTATCGTACTTTTATCGTACTATTGCAAAAATCACGAGCGCTGACTTATATACGACTTTCTTTTAAAGATATCCAACTGTTTAATTGATTTGGTTTGGCAAATTCTCTTCGAATGTAAAAATATTCAATTTACTCGACGTTTAAAGAGGATTACTCGTAGTTACTCGACGAAAAGCATCGATTAATCGAGTAAAAATGACTCATGCAAGTTTTACTCGAGTAATTCTTTACTCGGAAGCAAAACACTCTAGCTTTTACCGTTGTACGCTTTCATTGTACGTGTTTTTGTGCAAGATTGCACTAGAATTTGCTGTTTAACTTTTTAAATCAATATAAATAGCATTTCTAAACCCACCTTCTCCGCAATTCGCAACTCTTCAGTTGGAAAAAGCAGTTATTTTTGTAAACTCTTCCGTGTTGATCGCACACCGGTTCCCAATCTCCGGGACAGTTTGAGGCACAACAAGCACCTAAATTTATATAGAGTTAAGCGTTTCAGTTTGTCACTTTTCTTGATACTGTTGATTTCTATATAAAAGTATTTTGATTCAAAGAGACGTTTACCCAACTCACCAGTATACTCGAAATGTAATGTATTGTTCGGGTGGAGCTTGTCGTGGATACACTTCGTATTCTTGAAGTGACACAAACTCGCGTGCGTTCCCCCATTCGAGTCACAAACCGGGTCCACCGTTTTGTCGCACGATTCAATCTTGCAGCATTCGCCTAATTGAATAGATTGATAGCTGGATAAGAAACGTTTTTACCTGTATGCACTATCGTAATATTCTTGAGTCGATTCCTTTCCATTATGCACTGTTTCTCTTTGAAATGGCACAGATCGGCATGCGTTTGTCCGTCCGAATCACATAAATGACCGCTTTTCGCGCAGTCACCCTAAGCATTGTTTTGTTGTTGGCAAAATAGCGATTGTTGAAAAAAAAAATTTTTTTTTTTTTTATAAAAAAAAATTTTTTTTTTTTTTTATAAAAAAAAACTTTTTTCCGCCGGGTTTTTTTAAAAAAAATTTTAAAAAAAAAATTTTTTTTATTTTTTTTTTAATTTTTTTTTTTTAAAAAAAAAAAAAAAAAAAAAAAAAAAAAAAAAAAAAAAAAAAAAAAAAAGGTTTAAACCCCCCCTTATTTAAAAAAAAAAAAACAACCCCCCCCCAAAAAAAAAAAAGCCCCCCCCCCCTTTTTTAAAAAAAACCCAAAGAAAAAAAAAAAAAAAGATTCAAAGTCCTACCTACCTAGCAAAATAGCAATGACTGCAAGAAGTTCTTAAACTTTTCCGAAAATTTTATATTTCAAAGAAAATCCTAGATATTAGGTACTACGGAAAATAACTGCGTTTTCCGGCTGGTTAGTAGTATTAGGTTGATGCATAAGTCTTTTCGTTTTTTTCGTACTTCTGTTAAAAAGTAACAAATTCACGAATTAATCTATAGTTTGCTCTATAAAAAAAGTGTTTTTTTGTTCAATTTGCATCTTTTTAAATGAATTTCGGTTCACTTTCAAGCAAATTCGAGAGTGAAAAACGCCTTTTTCGTAAAAATCTATAAAAAACTCTACGGAAAAATTGGCTGAATGAATTTCTCTGAAATTTTGGCGAAATATCAAACGTTTTTTTTCTCTATCTTTTATCTATTGACACGAAGATAGGTTTTCTTTAGCTAAGGTGTCTAAACCGCATCATCGAGTTAGCCCTTTTTGACTACCCGACTTCATACTCTCAAGAAAATCCAGGCATTCAATATTTTTAAACCCGTTTTAATGTTATTTTGCAGAAAAATAATTGCTTTTTCTAATGAAATCAACCGTAGTTTAATTCGTGCATTTGTTGGCTTGAAACGGCAGACGAAAAGGAACAAAAACACTTATGCATCAACCTATTATTTCGGAAATTGCCTCACTTGTCCCATTGTACAACACTCTCCCGCATACGCCAACAAGAGGACTTCACCCACTCGTTCCGCCTCACATTGAGCCACTCTGAAATCAGCATTTTGATCATATTTGATGCATGATGTTTAGAAGAAAGATTAATCTTTAGATTTAGTAAAATTTCCATTCTAAACTGGTATTTAAACATTAAAGAATTGTCCTATAAACATGGGAAAATTCAAATCCAAATCTAAAAAGTAACTTGCTGACTTGCTTTGAACTTGCTGACTTTGAACTTGCTGACTCTTGTAATCCTAACCCTAGCTGGGTAAACCTTTGCTGGATAAACCTTTTAAATATAAGATTCTTCCTATTGCTTAGATAAAACCAAGTTCGATATAAGCTTCTACCTAAACTTGCACATATTCGAGTGTGTCTTGGTTCCATCGCAAACTGGATGAACCGTTTCTTCGCAAGGTTGACCACAGCATTGACCCTGAAGGCATTTTAGGAAGAAACTTCTATGAAATCTTCACTTTATATGCGATTTCAATGGTTTCATTCTCCGTTTTTCTCAATTTGCATTGATGTTGCTGAAAAGCGCATTGATTTGGATGTGTTCGGCCGTGGGAATCACAAAGGGGATCATAGGTGAGAGGGCAAGGTTTTGTTGAACAGCATTCACCTGGAAATTCACCTGTTTGGGATTCCGGTGATCTGGGAAAGCTTTAGAGCCGAATTGATTTAGGAAAAGTTTAGAAGTAGACTATGAAATGCACGTGGTCTAGTGCTTTAGTTGTTAAAAGTTCAAAAGATGAGCTAGAGGGTGATTCAAAATTTCCCCTACAACTTTTTATTAAAACTTGATTTTAAAATGACTGAGCTCCTGATTAGCTTTCCTATTCAGGCCAACTTTTTTTTGAAATGAAAACCTTAATAAAATTAGACTAAACACTAATAAGGAGCTCATAGCTTATCATAGCTTTTTTATATTTTGGCCCTTTGAGCCGAAAGTGGTCGACAGGGCTATCAAAATGATTGAAAGAAAGCAGAGACCCATTTTTTTGATGTCGTCAATGTTCTGGAACTTGTGGCTATCGAGTGAATGCCGCATACTTCGAAAGAAATGGTAGTCAGACGGGGCAATATCTGGACTATAAGGCGGATGAACTAGAAGTTCCCAGCCCAATTGCTCAATCTTCTCTTGCGTAATCTTGGCAACGTGCGGACGGGCATTGTCTTGTAAAAATCGCACTGTTGTCGGATCGATTCCTTTTCAAAATTCTTTTCAATTTCTTTAGTCATTCGTAATGTTTAGACTAATTCCAAACAAAAATTTATAAACTTTTAATGTTTATAAATATATAAACTACGATAAAAATGTTAGAAAATCATTTTAAAAGCGTTTAAACTAACATTTATTTGGATAGATATTCCCTCGTATCAAAGTTAGCAGATTTTTATGTTTTCATCGAAAAAGATCAGCCAAAAAGCCCCAGAAAAGGTTTCCAATATCAAGTTTAGTTTATTTTAATTAGCAAAAAGATTTAAAGCTTAAAATTTGTGTAAATTGTTTAATTTCAAGAATCTGTATAAACATTGGAAGTTGTCTAATTTCGGCAGCGTGTCGTCGAGTGTTTGTGCGCGGCTCAAAGGGTCAATCATATAAAAGTCATATATCAAGCTTTCAATCAAGTCATATATCAATATAAAAGCTTTGCTCAGTCGTTTTTAAAATCAACTTTTAGTCAAAAATTGTACGGGGAACTTTTGGATCACTCTGTAGATAATAACATTGTCGAAAATCGATCTAAAACCATTTTGGATCACCAAAAAGACTTTCGAAGAATCGCAATTTGCTGGGATTTTGCTGAGATTGATAGGCTAGTGAAGCTTAGACTTAGGAAGTCGATTGAAAGTAGATTCAAAACCATTGGGTTGGTGAATTGAAAACTGAGGGCTATTGTCATATGTGACAGTTTGAGCACTTTCTTCAAAAGAAACCCATTTTGGTGTCAATGGAAAAGTTGTAGAGAATCAAAAATTAGGCTTATAGCCAAATTTTCAGAACGATTCATAAACTGGTTTTCAAGAAATGCCAAATTTAAGAAAGAAATGCCAAATTTTCACAAAACTTGCATTTTAAGCTGCACTACTAAGTGTATCTTTTTGGAAATTTGGCTATAAGCCTCATTTTTGATTCTCTACAACTTTTCTATTGACACCAAAATGGGTTTCTTTTGAAGAAAGTGCTCAAACTCTCTATCGGACATCTCCAGCCCTCCATTTTTGAGTCTCACACTTGTCTCACACACAAACCAAAATCCTACTACGAAAGAGGAATCCGCAAATTGCCTGTAAAATGGGCAGAAGTCGTCAATAAGAATGGAATTATAGTAATGGAATATTTGGAATGAATTCATGGTTTTATGTTGAATAAATTTTAGTTCAAAGTCCCGCAGTTTTTAATGCACCAACCCAATAGATCGGACGTTCGATTTAGAGTGAATTAAGGTCCAACGTCCGATCTAGAATCAAGCCGATCACTCTAAGACAGGCATCCGATTCAGAGTAAGATTTAGAGTGATCGGCTTGATTCTAAATCAGACGTTGGACCTCACTTCACTCTAGACATCCGATCCAGACGATTCTAGATCGGACATCCGATCTAGAATCAGTCTAGATTGAACGGATTCCTAGATCGGACCTAACAACTATAGTAGATTATTGGTCAAGAATACAACAAGACTGGCTTTGTTCTATCCCAAGGAGCAGCGACTGATTCCAACTGATTTTTAATAGAATAGTGTGTGCCACTTGTACCAATTTAGCACTAATATAATCAATAATAATGGAAATTATTCGAAATGAATTCATGGTTTTCTGTTGAATAAATTTTAGTTCAAAGTCCCGGAGTTTTCAATGCACTAACCCAATAATTGTATCTACTTCGAAATCGAAACAAATCAAAACTAACTCACCACTATACCCTTTGTGCACCCTTTGCCCACTCGTGATTCTCCTCTCAATCAAGCAATTGTATCGTTCCAATTCACATTCATTCACAAATGTCTCTTCTAGAAATCACTTTTTGCGAGTTTTCATCGAAACAAACCATTATTCGCGCAAATTGGTTCATAAACTTTTGTGCACTCTTTGCATGGAATCTCGTTTTCGCAAAGATCGAACTTCGAGATTGTCAGATTTCGGCCGAATTTTCTCTCCTCTAGACAACGAGCCAAGCCAAAGAAGCACAAGTTCTAGAAAGCTTTGTGATTAGTATTGGATAGCTAAAACTTGATTTTTTCCGATACCTGATGACTTTTCCGATCGCTATCACAAACGGGACTCCAATTGACGGGACAATCCTCTTGACAGCACTCTCCGACGTATTGTACAGTCAATGATGAGCTGAAAATTTCCTATAGTTTGCCCAAGCCCTAACCTTACTCTTTTAAACATTTTGCTTCTTTCAATTCACACGCATTTGTGTAGATTTTATTGTCAGAGCCACAAATCGGCGAATACTCGTGGCCGCATTTCTCCGCGAAATCACAACTTTCGCTCATCGGTTGTGGAGTGGGGAATTGATTGACTAAATAGTTTTTGATATAAATATAAATAGGAGCACGTGTGGCTGACTGGTTAAGTGTCTTTTATCTTAATCGGAAGGTCGAGGGTTCGAACCCCACATGCGACATGGTCACCCCCTTCGGATTTCCTTTCCCTTCGGGTTGAGAGGTTTTCTGGAGGGCAGTCTGGTGGTTGTGGCCCCAGTTCTTTAAAGTGACAAGCCACTCCTTCATCGTCATCTTCCCTTCACCACCAAAAAAGCTATTTAGTTCCCCATTGAGCTTAGGGTTAGGGAGCCGTCTGTCATGACGTGGGTTAAGTTAAGATATAGCCTAGTATTGTGCGTGTCGTTGTATTGTGATTGATATATTTCGTGTATGCGATAAATTCACCACTGGTAGCCCCAGTCGGTATTTTTTTTTATAAAACATCTTTAAGGAAAGTACGGTGCCCAAAGCTTGAGTTAATCGAGCATTCTGGACATTTGATGCGCGCCCCGCCCCTTTGCCATTGGCAATCTAACTTTGAACTCAAATTTCTTGGTGTTGGGACAATGTATTCAATTTTGGAGTCAAACAAGGATTTGTGAGTTGAGTTGGCTTTGAAAAAAGGTTATCGGACACTTGATGCGGCTATCGCCCTTTTTACCATTGGCATTCTAGGTTTGAGCTCAAATTTCTTGGTGTCAGGCTGTCCAATTTACATCTTCTTGGTATCATTAGAGTCTTTCTCTGTCGATTGGTATGAAAACTATTCAATTTGAACAGCTCAACACCAAGATCTTTGAGCTTAAAGTTAGAATGCCAATGGCAAAAGGGTCGGAAGCTAATCAAATCTCCAATAACCCTCAAAAGGTATGATAAAATTGAGAAATGATTAGGAATACCGTAGCTAGGTAATGCCATAAAAAGATTCACACTACTTCTGAATAGTTTGGAAGATATTAAGTGATTCTTACTGTCATTTCCTTGTTGTTCTGATGAATCGGAGGCTCTTGGTGTAACCTTTTTGGTCGTATTTGCACAAGCTCCCTCATTGATCATTAAAAGCTCGATTCCCTAAAAGTCTTATAGATTTTGTTCATTGACAAGTTACGACAAGTTAACGAATCATCAAAAACCCACCATTTTCTTCATTTTCTGACACCGGGCAATCTCGAAGAGACAAATGTTCGAATAAGTGAGTCCATCCGAGGCACACAAAGGATTTGAGGGAGCTGTGGCACAGTTATCCAATGAAGCACAACAACGGCCTTCCTAAAGCAATAAAATGTAAAATGAAAGGTTTTTTCTAAGATTCTCACATGAAGCACACTCAAATTGTAGCCGAAATTCTGCGTAAGTACACAGTGGAGAGCGTTGAACTCGCAGCGAGATCTGATCAAGGTTTGGTTTCAGAATTGATCAGGAATGGTTTTAGAAAATGGAAAAGAAAGGGTTCCTGGTCTTTTGGCTGATTTTAGGACATGTTCTAAAAAGTAAAAAGGAATGCCGGTCATAGAGCTATCTAATCCTTGTCTTGTAATAGAGCTACTGTAATCCTTGTCTTGTAATAGAGCTACCGTAATCCTTGACCTGTAATAGAGCTATCTAATCCTTGACTTGTAATAGAGCTATCTAATCCTTGTCTTGTAATAGAGCTATCTAAGTCTCGGCCTGTAATGGAGCTATCTAATCCTTGTCTTGTAATAGAGCTACTGTAATCCTTGGCCTGTAATAGAGCTATCTAATCCTTGACCTGTAATAGAGCTATCTATTCCTTGACTTGTATTAGAGCTATCTAATCCTCGTCTTGTAATAGAGCTACCGTAATCCTTGACCTGTAATAGAGCTATCTAGCCCTTGACTTGCAATAGAGCTACCGTAGCCAAAGACTACAATAACATGAAGACTGCTACTGTTATTCACCACTTAAAATATTGTTAAATTTCTGAAAACTTGTTTCAATTATCGAATCTACCGTGTTTGTCCATTTTGATCGCAGACAAGCGACCCATCGGGAGCATCATTGCCAAGCAAAGGACATTCCTCGTGAAAGCATAAAGAGCAACTACCTAAAATTAGATAAACGACAAATTAGCTAAACAAATTAGCTAAACAAATCAAACAAATCAAATAACAAACCTTTAAAAAGCACCGCTAGACTGTCATTCATACACTTGGCCTTTTGAAAATGACAATCGCTGTCATAAGTGACGTAATCATTGGCACAGATTGGCGATTTTGCGTCAACGTCAACTCCAAAACAGTCGGATTTGCACTTTTCACATTTGTCGAAACGCTAAAGTATTTTTTTTGTTTGATATCAAACTTTTGAGCATATTTAGACTAATCTTGGAGTTCTTATCCCTGCATTTTGCCAGAATATTTGCAATTTGCCTGAGATTTTGTTGACTTACATACAAATGCGATACGGTTTAGGGTAGTGGTAAAATTCATAGTACGATACGATAAACTTGACGAAATTCAAAGGTTATCTTTAAGATTCACGTCTTTAAGATCAAGTACAGTTAGAGATGAAGCTGAATCCTTAAGATCCTCAAGTACAGTTCTTCTTTAACGTGATTAAATCTTTAAGTTCTAAAATGCAAACACTTGCCAATAATCCTTTTGGGGACTAGCTTTTAATTGTAAAATGATAAGTTTATTGCATGAGAATGCTTGAGAATGCATGAGAATGCTTCAGATTTGAGCACAAAGTACAGCAAGCCTTGAGTGCAGTAAGTCTTGAGTACAACAAGCCTTGAGCACAGTAAGTCTTGAGTGCAGTAAGTCTTGAGTACAACAAGCCTTGAGCACAGTAAGTCTTGAGTACAGTAAGTCTTGAGTACAGTAAGCCTTGAGTACAGTAAGTCTTGAGTAGAGTAAGCCTTGAGCACAGTAAGTCTTGAGTACAGCAAGTCTTGAGTACAGTAAGTCTTGAGTAGAGTAAGTCTTGAGTAGAGTAAGTCTTGAGTACAGTAAGTCTTGAGTAGAGTAAGTCTTGAGTACAGTAAGTCTTGAGTACAGTAAGCCTTAAACTTACCTCGATCTTCAATCTGATCCCTTTCAGCTCAGCTTTGCATTTCTCTCGTTCAAAGAGACACAAATTTCTGGAAAATAAGCTTTTATCTCTAAATACTGTTGGTTTTTGTCTCTAAATCGTTTTTATCTCTTAACAAGTATCGTTTTTCTTGTACTTACAAGTGTTGATTCCCTTGCGAATCACAAATTGGTTGAGATTCATTTGAGCATTTTGTTTCAAAGCATTTGTTCTCTTTGGTATTCGATTCTGTAAAGTAAAAAAAGGTTATAGAATGTAAAATTTTAGATTTCTAAAAGTTAATGATTAAAATTTTATATATTTTTTCGCAAATTCGATGATTTTTACCGTTTTTCTCGTTTGGACACGGCGATAAACTGACGAGATGCGCGGCTTTTCCGCCCGCTTTCCGTTCGACACAGTTTTTCATCTGAAATGGAATTTTTAGGTACATTTGGGCACATTTTGAGTAAAAACTTGACTCTTTGCCCGATCCCGAGCATAACGTAATCGAATTTCTATTTAAAACTCGTCAGGAAAGAGTCACAAACGTTCTGATTCGGACTCTTTCGCGGACAATCCTCCAGAAAACCCAGGAAATCAGTTTTGTTGAACAGAGAGTCATAATGACCATTATTTATATTAAATCAGTACTTTACGTTTAGAAATGTATTGAGTCTTGTTCTTGTCAAATGTCTTTAGTTCTTGTTTACCTGAAACGCGCAAAGATTCTTGTGCTCAATCATTTTCTCGTCGCAAACCGGACGAGTCTCTTCGGGGCAACGCTCGGGGCAAGTTTCTTCCTGGAAATTGGAAAGTTCTGGGGCATTTTATATAGCTCATAGAAGTTCAGGGGCATTTTATTTAGCTCATAGAAGTTCTGGGGCATTTTATTTAGCTCATAGAAGTTCAGGGGCATTTTATTTAGCTCATAGAAGTTCTGGGGCATTTTATATAGTTCATAGAAGTTCTGGGGCATTTTATTTAGCTCATAGAAGTCCTGGAGCATTTTATTTAGTTCCTAGAAGTTCTGGGGCATTTTATTTATTCGATAAAGTGATATGCTTTATTCATAATACAGGATGGTCCAGTATTACAGGTAACTTTTTAGGAGAACAGCTTTTTCAAAAAAACTTTCCATGACAAGTACCACGTGTTATATAGTATTCGAAAGTGGAAAATCTCAGCTAGATTACCTTTGCAATTGTTTGTTATGAAAATACAGTTTTAAGTCCTAAAAGGGGGTTGAAATGCACCGAAGTCCACATGCCCTGGCGACCTGCTCTTGCTTTTCGAGTTAAAAAGGTTCAGAGAAAAAGCTAAAGCATGCTTATATCTACAGTTCTTTTATCTTCAGAAATTTATATTAATATTTTAAAACAAAAACAACAGTCAAACGTCTCTCTATCGCAAGTTCCAGGCACCGCAAAACCCGCAAATTTTCCCATCTTTCCAAAATGAGATTTTATCGCCGACTGTAGACTTTTGTTTTGGCAAGAAAGGCTTCAATTTCTGCACAATCATACTTACATTAAGATTAAGAAACCTTTGAAAATGTTTGTCTCCATTAAAATAACCTTCTCAAGGCAATTGTCACGTGGAAAATCAAGACAAACAGCAGCAGCATTTGACTTCGGTGCATTTCAACTCCCTTTTAGGACTTAAAACTGTATTGTACTAAACTGTATTGTACTAGTACTGTAAAGGTAATCTAGCTGAGATTTTCCGCTTTCGAATATTATATAATATGTGGTACTTGTGATGGAAAGTTTTTTTGAAAAAACTCCTCCTAAAAAGTTCTCTGTAATACCGCCTTTATGAATAAAGTATCTCACTTGTCGTTGTTGTATAATATTGAACCGCCCTGTACAAGTAGGTACAAACCTTTTCCGTGAAAATGGGACTCTCCTTGTGACATGATCCAATATGGACCAAAACTCGTCGATCGCCGCCTTTTCTTTCCATTTGGCAGTTCCAAACGGCGAGGTGACAAAGTGAGGGATGAGTCTGGAAGGAATACGGGAAACTCTAACGGGAAACTGGATGTAAGAGAGTGCTCAAAACTGTGTTCAAAGAAAAACAGTGAGCTAACTTTTAGCAAAAATGCTTTCCTAAGCTCAGAGCCATTAGAAATGGGTTTTAAAGTTTAAGATGAACTTAATCAAACAACTATTACTCATCTATCAGACTGTAATCAATATCAATCTATAGCTATCAATCAATATCAATCTATCAACAGCTATCAGACACCCATTTAAGCATAGGACATAAATTAGGGTTTGATTTTGATTCGATTTTGATACAGAACTATTGGGTTGCCCAGTTATGAATGCGCGTTTTTTACTATTTTGTAAATTTCTCAAGATACCGAAATGAAGAAAAAGATATATATGAGTATTATTCGAAAGCTGAAGATCTCCTCTACATTTTGATATAAAAAGTTTTTGAATTTGTTCAGCTTTTGGGCAAATTGACTGCACAGAAGAAGAGGTGGCCAAAAATGGAAGGGTGCCTTGGGATCAAGTTTTGGCTCCGCTCAAATTGAGTCAACCGTTTGATGTTTGGCCAATAGATATATCAATACAAATTTTTTTAAATATACCAATTTCAGAGCATCTTTACTTTTCTTTTCTTTTCTGGGCGGTTATTTTACACCATAAAACTTGAGGAATAGCTAAGCTGGAATGGGTTTTTTTTGGAAAACGACCTCTCCCTTTGTGCAGTCAATTTCCCAAAAAGTTGAATGAATTCAAAAACGTTTTTATTCCAAAATGTAGAGGAGATCTTGAGCTTTCGAATGATATATAACACTCATATACATCTGTTCGATATCTTGAGAAATTTACAAAATAGTAAAAACGCGCATTCATAACTGGACAACTCAATATCTCATATTCCTTTAGGTATTAGATGAAATTATGAATTCAAATCCTAATCCAAATCAATCCCAATCCAAACCTCTTACACAATCTTACACATTTGGGATCATTTTGCCTCTAGCGCCTGCTTTCTTACTTGATTTCTATTATCGCAAACGGGAGTCTTCTCGCGGGCCGTCGAACAAACACCACACGGCTCATCATCGCCTTTGTAAACCTAAATAAAACTCTATAGTTGACTATTGTTATCTAACCAGTATCATAGTCATCTAATTATTTAATCTCTAATCTCTAACCTCTAATCTCTAATCTCTAATCTAATCAGCTATCTCATTTCCTAGTGTTTTATTTTTCAATTCTTATCGCAAACCTTTGTATCTTTGCACTCTCCTTGGTGAGAAATCTCCAAAATAATCCCCTCATGTCGATAGAGTTTACAAGCGAAAAATTGAAAGAGACACGGATTTTTGTGGGTTCTTCCTTGGTGATCACACACTGGATGCCAATCTTTTTTGCATGAAACAGCTGAACAACGAATCGAGAGATCCCAGGGGAGATTCTGAAAAAAGAACACAGTAAGATAAAGGAAACATGAATATGAACATGAATTCACACTAATTGGAGTCTTTTTTTCATTCAGGGGTGGCGCAACGCCGGTGTGGCTGCACAATTAGGGACCCGGGTTCGATCCCGGGCCCCGATGGACTGGTTCATGGCCTAGGTTTAGTATAGTGATAAAATTCATGGTACGAGAAGTCCTTAATCCTTAAGTCCTTAGGGCGAGAAGCCTATCATCCAATAAGAGTAAGGGTTAGGGGGAAATGTAGGCGTGGGTTAAGTTAAGATATACCCTAGTAATGTGTGTGTGAATTGAATTGGGATTATCGTGCCAAATAAAGCAGATCCGGGGTTCCCAGTGTATAGCTTTATTTAGTTCAGATCCAACGAACGACTCTATTTCAACTAGCTCAAGTTGGATTTAGTTCAAGTTCAACTTTAGCTACCATTCTTTCTTGCAGTTCAATTTTTAACGAAGCGATAAAATAAACAAAATGGCTTACCTTTGTAGACATTGTTGTTTCAGTTTCAGAACTGGATGTTATGGCTTTTAACCTATCAGTAGCTTTAACTGTATCGTCTGGGAAAATCGTTTCTCTGATAAAAGTTGCCGTCGTCGTTGGCATTGTTGTAGATTTCAGCGCGACTTTTGCAGTTAACCCACTCCTGGTTTCTGGCTAAATTTACAATACTTTAGACAAGATGAAAGCTTAAAACTTTATCTAATGTTGAATTCAAAGAAAAAAGGTAAAACTTAAAACTTGTTGAGACGAAAGTTCACAAAAAAAGTCAGCCAATTCTTTTGATTCAAAAGCAAAAGCAAACAACTTTCCTAGTCTACGTGTTAGTCTTTTGAAATTTCAACCAAAACTCACCTCATCCTCTCCAAAAATCGCCGAAATCGCAGAAAATGGTTGTTCGTCTTGTTCTTCCTTTTTCATCTCTTCAAATTTCGATACTTCCAATCTTTTCCCTTCTGATTGTGAGCGGATTTTGCTCGCTAAAGCTTTTCGATCGATCGATGGAGTCTTTTTCCCGATTTTGATCTGAAAATTTGCAATTTTAGACTGTTATATTGACAATTGACACATCTTATTCTAATTCTTTCTTCTAATTCTAATTCTTCAACCCTAAAAGAGATCGAATTCGGACCGATTCTCGGTCATTTTCAACCTTGAGTATCTCCGCTTACAATTAGTATCTTACATCTTATCTTACAACAATTGAACAACAATTAAACCTATGTGCCAAGTGGTAGACTCAATAAAATTAGCTCCAATCGATTCCCCCGAAGACTCCTGAAAACAAATTCACAGCTCAAGACCTTCTTTTTGTTGTGTGAAAGTTTATTCAGGTTCCAGTTCTGATGGTACTTCTAAAATGATCAAACAGCCAGTCTAATCTAATTTAAACTCAAATTACTCATAAACTCAAGCTTGTTCAGCCTCTTTCTCAGAAGCGCACGTTTTGAGTAAATTTTATTGACTCGAAATCCGCACTTGCAAGTTATACAGTAATGAGAGGTATGGGAAGGCAACGATATTTGCATTTGTCTTTTGTTTCGAAAGGGTTTTTGTTGTATGGTAAATGAAAAGACACTACAGGGACCGAGAAAAGTATTGCCGCGTCTCTTTGAACTAACTTTTATGCGATTTAAAAGTATCCTTTTGTCAAACATGAATTTTGTCTAGTTTTTTTTCCTCTTTCAAATGGTGCTTGGCATTCAATGTGTATTTTTGGAAATGCAGGCTTGTCCTCATCGAGAAGCGATCACTATGCTTTTGAAAGCCGGAGAGTCGAAGGCGGCCATCACGCGAAAGCTCAAAACCAACATCAGAACTGTTCAACGGCTTGCCAAACAATTGCAAGAGAAAGGACACGTCAAGGAAAAGCCGAAAAAAGGAAGACCTCGATCGGTGACCACGCCAAACATCCGGAAGCTCATCAAACAGCGAATTGACCGAAACGACGAGCGAAGCTTAGGAAAAATGGCCATGTATACAGTAATAGACTACATCTACACTTACAAAGCAAAAAAGAGAAATGTCTATGTTCTTGGGAGCTTTTGCCTTCAAGTTTGTTAGTATTTTTCTACAATAATCCTACAAAATATTTGCCTAAATTGAATGAACAATTTAATGAACAATTCAACAAATGTAATAAAAAGATCCTATTATCAGTAAGGCAAAAAAATTTCACTAAATTTCACAAGTGTTATTCAAGGAATTTGGTGGTTTGCTATAAGTTTAAAAAAGTTTCAAGTTTTGTGTAGGTACACTACTGAAATATGATATTTGAAAAAAGATCGTCACTCTCGCGCGTTCTGTAACTTCCTTGTCTTTACCGTATTTCTAAATATTAATATTACCATTGTGTAGCCCTTGAAAAGAGCTTTCAGAAAATGTATAACACTAATAGTTTAAGCTCAAAGACAAGGGAGTTACAGACGCGCGAAAGTGACGATCGCTTTTCAAATATCATATTTCAGTACTTTCAAATATGATATTTCATTGTCCAGTACTGTACTTATTGATCAATCCTCATCAGAACTGTTTCTATTTTATTCACTTTATCCATTGAACTAACAAGCTGTAAGGTTTGGAGTTGAAAAAACTTGAGAAAGCTTGTCTACTTTGATGAGCATAACTCGGTTTTAGTTTTAGAATCGATTGCAATTCAAGAATGCAATTCATGAATGAAATTCAAGAATGCAATTCAAATCGCTCTTATGAGAATCATTTTTTACCTTCTTCAACTTTTTTGGCTTCTTTATCGTCGGGATTTCGGTTGTCGAGAGGTTTAGATGAGTCATTACGAGAAGCAATTCTAAACTCACAATCAGTTTTCAATGTTTTTAAATTGAGAACACTTGGATTCTATTTTCTTATTCTATTTTCTCATTCTATTTTTCTTTACCCTTTTCTGCAATTTCTGTCTCATTTCTGCATCGGCCATGATATGCCAAAGCGATCTCTTCATTTCCACGATTTCTTCGCTCGCAATTCACTTGATCAAATCTGGAAAAGAGGAATCGTTTGAAGCAAATTTCTGAATGATTTTTGCTTTGATTTAAAGAGCTTAAAGTGGTGTTTAAAGCTGAATTTGAAAGCTTTGTCTTGAAAAGTTTTGACCTTGAAGACTTTGGCTTTGAAAGCATTGACTTAAAGTTAGCCAAATAGCTTTGCTTTCTAGCTTTGTTTACGTGAAGAACAGATTGCGTAACTAAACCAGTGCATTTTTCTTGCAATTGATTAGAAGTAAGCAATGAATTCAATGGCTCTCACTTGCACGTCGAGTTGTGAGTGTTCCCGAATTGATCGCAAACTGGTCCATCAGTTTGTTGATCGCAGAAAATCGCAGTGCAATCCTCATCTTGTCGCTCGTCTGGTCTGCATTCTCCCTGAAAAGTCAAAAATTCTTTTAGAGAATTTGATATTAATTTGAGTAAAACCTTAAATAAAACTTTAAAATATTAGGTTGGCGATATTGAAATTTCGTTTGCGTTTCTCTTTATGGATTTTAACACTGTTGGATACTATTACCACCGCAATCTCTTCTGTTTTAAAGAAATAATTATTGTGCTTTGTTACGCGTTTTTTGAGCTGGGAACTTCTAGATAAGACAATGGCTCGACCCGGGAGAAATTCCAAAGCCAATACCTAAACCAGATTTTCACGGAAAGAAAGTTATGCTGTCGATTTGGTAGAATACCCGAGACCTGGTCCATTTCGAAGTGTTAATTTCTGGTCAGACTGTTGATGCAAATCTTTACGTTCAACAACTAGATCGCGTGGACGCGGTTCTTCGCTCAAAAGGAATCGATCCGACAACAGTGCGATTGTTACAAGTCAATGCCCGTCCGCATGTTGCCAAGATTACGCGAGAAAAGATTGAGCAATTGGGCTGGGAACTTCTAATTCATCCGCCTTATAGTCCAGATATTGCCCCGTCTGATTGCCCGCCTTATAGTCCAGATATTGCTCGCAAGAGAAGATTGAGCAACTGGGCTGGGAACAGTTCACCCTATATCCAGAATTGCCCCGTCTGATTACCCGCCTTATAGTCCAGATATTGCTCGCAAGAGAAGATTGAGCAATTGGGCTGGGAACGAAGTTTCGGCATTTACTCGAAAGCCACAAGTTTCAGAACACGACATCAAAAAATGGGTCTCTGCTTTCTTTCAATCAAAACCAGCCCAATTCTTTCAAGAGAGTTTCCATAATTTGCGTCAAAGATAGAAAAATGTTATTGATAGCTGTGGGGAATATATTGTTGATTAATTGTTTCTAGTTTATTTTTACGAATAAATTTTGTTGTTGCTCAAAGACGAAATTTCAATGTCGCCAACTTTACTTCCAAATCCAAATCCTTTCAATAATAGTAAAGGGATTTGGCTCACTTACGCAATACAAAACGAAAAGCAATAGGATTTTCATCAAAGATCCATTCAAAGTTTGACCTCAATTTCCAAAATGGATCTATTTTTCTGTTTATTTCATGAAAACTTCATGAAATGCCATGAAGTTTTCCCCAAATCTCCAAACTTTTTTCGTGAATTCTCATAAAAAGGTGAAGACACTTTGCGAAATAGATAAAGTGAAAAGAAACTGAAAAAGAAACTTTTTGAGAGGGAATAAAGAGGAGTAGAGAGGAGATTTCAATCTCTCACACTCATAAATTGTGCTCAATTAAAAGAATAAACGAGTAAACGAGAGGATAATGAAGAGATTGGTGTTAAGAAATAGAGAAAAGCAGAAATAAAGAATTTCTGGGGTTCTCGGGGGAACTTTCTCTGATATTCAATCGAAGAAGCTGAGATTCTTGGTGCATCAAAAACAATCTTGAACAAGAAACTGAGATTCTTGATGCATCAAAAACAATCTTGAACAAGAAACTGGGATCCTTGATGCATCAAAAACAATCTAGATCAAGAAACTGAGATCCTTGATGCATCCAAAACAATCTAGATCAAGAAACTGAGATTCTTGATGCATCAAAAACAATCTAGATCAAGAATCTCAGAAAAAACCTAACAATTTGCTTTACTGGTTCTTTTTAGTCTGACTTTTTAACTGCGCTTACCCCAAGCCAATCCGTTTGGCGGTTCAAATTCAAGTCAAACCACTGAAAAGAGTTGATCCGCAACAGGTTGAGCACAAGTTTTGAATGATGTATGCCGTAAACTTTCTAATAGAAGAGCTGACTATTTAGAAGAGCTAACACTTCAATATTTCAACAGCTCTTCCTCCAAAATTCTTTTCGTACTCTAGCTACAATCGCCCAAATTTTCAAGAGCTTAAGAATGGGTGTTTTTGTTGGATTTTCATCCGGTTTTTGACGTGATTAGGCTTTTTAATTTATAACTATTATTTAAAGCCTTTAAAAGTCTTTAAAAAGTTAAGCATTTTACTCCGAGAGTTGACAAATCAGGAAAAAGAATGAAAAATTTCGTCTAAATGGAGATCTTTTAATAGCTCTGCAATTTGAATAGTAGAAGTAGAAGGATTGAAAAGTAGAATTGAAATTGAATTGAAATTGAATTGAAAGTAGAAGGATTTAATTTCATGACAAGCTCGACAATGAGAAGGCTAGCTTGCTTCCTCATTCGATTAGAGTTTTGTTATCGAGCCTCTCGTACTATTTTGAGGAAAGGAATCAATCAATACTAGTTGAAAAGAAAATACAAACAAAGAAATACTGATTGTGCTCTCTATTCACAATCAATATTTCTATCTATGATCTCTATATTTCAAAAACAAACTATATGCTGTATGTAGAGCTTCTTGTTTTGCAATTTCTTTGCCAAGCATTTGTGAAAATGAAAACGACACTCGTTTTGGTGGGTTCTACCTGAAAATTTGATCGGTTTATGATGAGAAATTTAAGGGTTTGCCTAAAGAAGCGTTAAATTCTAATTGATTTTTTCAAACTCCAGCTTATAAACCGACCAAAATTATCGCAAACGGGTGAATTTACGGATGGGCAAGCATTTTTCGGGCAACACGTTCCCGAATAGAGTAAACGAAGGTCTAAACTTTTGAAGCTATAAGATTTTGATATCTTATAGCTGAAATCTATCTTGGTGAATTGAAAACTGCCGGCTATTGTCATATGTGACAGTTTGAGCACTTCCTTCAAAAGAAACCCCATTTTGGTGTCAATGGAAAAGTTGTGGAGAATTAAAAATCAAGCTTAAATCCAAATTTTCAGAACGATTCAAAATTGGTTTTCAAGAAATGCCAAATTTAAGAAAGAAATGCCAAATTTTCACAAAACTTGCATTTTAAGCGAAACTACTAAGTGTATCTTTTTGGAAATTTGGCTATAAGCTTGATTTTTGATTCTCTACAACTTTTCTATTGACACCAAAATGGGTTTCTTTTGAAGAAAGTGCTCAAACTGGGATCTCCAGTCTCCATCTCCAGTCCTCCATTTTCGAGTCTCACACTTGTCTCACACACAAACCAAAATCCTACTACGAAAGAGGAATCTACGAAATTGCCTGTAAAATGGGCAGAAGTCGTCAATAATAATGGAATTTTAATAATGGAATATTTGGAATGAATTGATGGTTTTATGTTGAATAAATTTTAGTTCAAAGTCCCGCAGTTTTCAATTCACCAACCCAATATATAGCCTTTTTGTTAAATCCAATTGAATTTTCAACTAAACTATCAAAAGCTATAAGATTTCGATAGTTTAGATGAGAGAGTATAAAGTATTCTCTAAATTTCATTCCTTAAAAGTTGTAAAGTTTGGTTTACCCGTTTTCATTTGCCTTTCACAATGTAGATGACACTCGGAGTCATAGGTGATCTCATCCGAGCCACAAACGGGCCGAAAACGCCGCTCGCACTTGCAATGTTGCTGGGAAAGGCCTAAAGTTGGAAAGAATTTTTGCTCGCTTAAGAAGTAGAGAATCGCTTATAAGCAGAGCTGTTCATTTCTGATTGTCGATAGGTGTACAACGAAAAAACGAGTTTTGATCACTTGAACGACTACTTTTTCAGGAGCTCGTGCTACATGAAAATAGAATTTCTCAAGTTCTATCTTTTGATCTCAAGTTCTATCTTTTGAAAAAGCCTGTATTATGAAAAGTATCCATTCAAATGGTCAAAACTTGTTTTTCCGTCGTACACCTATTGACAAACATCCCGAAAATGAGCAAATCTATTACGAAAAGAAAAGCTTTGAATGTTTAATCGTTTTTGGAAGTTTTCTCTTTCTCACCTCTCGTAAAGACACCAAATGCTGTTGATGAAAATAGAAAAAATAGAAAAATAGAAAAATCGTCGACTCACAGCACCTCGATTTGTATAAAATCATACAAAAAGTCGCTAAAAATGTTAAAATTTAGCATTTTGATGTTAAATCATCGAAATGAGGCGTAAAAAAAGATAAGGGAAAGGGAAAAACGATCATAAAGAGACACGTTTTCTTGCGAAGAAAGTGATTTGCATAGGTGAGAGTTTGATGAATCGGCGGAAAATCGAAAGCAAAATGTGCAAAATCGAAAGTGATTAGTGCAAAAAGAATCTGAAATCTCCTATTTTCTGTACTGAAATTTCAGCTATTGCTTTTTTTATTCTAATTCGGCTTCGGTTCTAAATTTCTAAGCATTAAATAGTCGAATTAAATCCGAGCTTCAACTTCAACTTTAACTTCAACTTCAATATGTCATTGTGCCTAGATTTTTGAGACCAATTTTTGCCTTTACTTTGGCTATATTCTTGTACATTTCGAATGTTATAAAATAAAGCTCGATTTGATCAACTAATCCCAAATCTTTGGCATTAGCTTTGTCTGAAATTGCTTTATTTATTTGGCTTTATTGATTTGGCTTTTTTTTTCTGCAAAAAGGAGACTCGGATCTGCGATCCGACTTGGGTGTGAGAAGATTTGAGTGCAACAGTGTTCACAATTTCAAGCAGAAGGATTTACCAAACAAAAATGAAGATTTAATAGCGTTCGATTCCTCAATAAAAGCTATGAGTCCTGCTACCCAATCGAGACACTGTAGTGAGACGATAGCAATGAGACGATAGCAATGAGACGATAGCAATGAGACGATAGCAATGAGACGATAGCAATGAGACGATAGCAATGAGACGATAGCAATGAGACGATAGCAATGAGACGATAGCAATGAGACGATAGCGATGAGACAACTAGCAACGAGACAACTAGCAACGAGACAAAATTTAGCACAAAATTGTCCTTTATTCAAAACAACCAAATAGTCTATGTGTCTATTTTTCTTTCAGAAATGGCTTCATTGTCGGATTTACCCTTGAACTTTCCCCCTTTCCTTGTTTTTTTTCCATCATCGAGCACTATCGAGTTTTTTCGAGCGGAAATTTGTGCTCTCTTCAAGGGAAAATTGAAGCAAATGGATTCTCGAAAAGGGAAAAAATGAAAGAAAGAAAAGATTCATAAAAACATTTACACATTTACATGAAACCAGTTATGATCTGGAAAGAAAGGAGTAGGAATGGAGAAGAACAATAAACAGACGGAAGGGTTGAAAAAAGAACGGGAAAGTATAAGGGAAACCTTGAAGGAATAACCTGTGAAGTACTGGGATGTTCTTGAAGTGTGGTATGATGGTCACATCCAAATCAAGAAGGATAAGAAGCCAAGAAAGCCAGCAATCTAATCTGGATTCTAGTTGCAATCGATTTCTATCGTCTAGTTTTTTCAACTTTCCATGCAAAACTTTCTACAAGGTGGCCACGAATTGTGACACGAAAGTGACAACTTTTTGGAAAGCCAGCAATCTAAACTGGATTCTTGTTGCAATCGGCAAATGCCTAACTTATTTCAAAAGTCTCAAGTGTTATATAGAGAATTGTAGCCCTGATTCTCAGCTGCATTTATCTATCAAAAACTTTCCGATTCGACTTATACAACTCATTTAACAAGCGCTTGAATGAGCTCTAATCATCTCTCCGGCGAATCTGTCATTTGGCCGCTTTTCTACATTAAAAAATTTCATTCGGAAAGTTTTTTTCAATCAAATTTGTGATAATTTTGTCTAAAAGAAATTGTTTTCAACGCCAGAACAGCTGATATAACGAGATACGTATATGAAATATTGAAAATACTCAATTTCCACCTTTTTCCCTGTTCCTCCGACAGAAGCTTGACATCAACTTAAATTTTGGTTATGCCAGTTCAGCCAAAACAATGAAATGTGATTCTTGATGTTATTAAGTGATGTTAAACGCTAGTTTTGCATTGAAGAAATATTAAAAAGCTTTTCTTAACAATTTTTAATAAAGAAAAGCGGCTAAATGACAGATTCGCCGGAGAGATGACTAGAGCTCATTCAAGTGCTTGTGAAATGAGTTGTATAAGTCGAATCGGAAAGTTTTTTTTAGATAAATGCAGCTGAGAATCAGGGCTACAATTCTCTATATAACACTTGAGACTTTTGAAATAAGTTAGGCATTTTCCAGCTACTTTTGCAAAAAGCTGTTGCTATAATTCGCTGTATATTGTCTGGTTGGTCAACCGGGTTGTTTAGCTGCCCGGGCCAGGCTTGAAAAACTTACGTCTCTTGTCTCTCGTTACAAAAAAGCTTAGCCAGCAATGAACAATTAAATTTCGCGAATTTTAAAAAGACTTTTGAGGTGGAAGTGTCCAGTAGAAGTTGAATCATGGAAAACCTCCCGACTTTCCTGATAATCCTTTGAACTCTCGACCTTTGAACTGTCAGTGCTGAATCGATAAAAAGATGGATCAAGTCCGGGAGTGAGTTACTTCAATAGTTCAATAGTTTCATTATTAAGCTCTTATTAAAGACAAATGCAATAGTTGAAAGCTAAAAAGTTGGAAAGCAAACGAGAAAACAATCTCAAAAGTCTGAGCTAACAAGCAAAAAATCAAATATTCTTTGGCAAATTTGAGATTTATAAGTAAGATTTATAAATTTCAAACCCCTATCAATATCCAGATCCAAGAAACCAAAAAAAAAGAACTGAAAATCGAGAAGCGCGAAGGGAAAAGCGAGAAAATCGCAAGAGGGTTTTGTCTGTGATTTTTCAAGGAGAAAAAGAAAAAGGAGAAAAAAGAAAGGAAAGGAAAGGAGAGGGAGAAGCTAGATGACATCAATCCATTCGTTCATTCAAAGAGATACGAAAAAGAAGAATGATCAGCATTGCTCTTACTTACACTACTTATTACTTCCTTACAAATACAGTCAAACTTCGATACTTCGACTTTGACTGTGCCGTAATTCGTTTCTGTACCGTTTAGTTTCAATAAAGTTCTAAACTGCCGTTTTCCTCAAGCTATCACAACGAAAAGTATTGGCTTACTGCAAAGCTATAAGCAAAACTACTGCAAAACTACTGCTTAACTACTGCTTAACTACTGCAAAACTACTTTCATATTATCAATTACAGTAAGTTTTTGTAAAAGTTTTGTTTTATCAATAAGCCAATACTAATGACTAATGGGTTTTCAAAAAATTTCCATTTTTGAAAACTAATTCACCTCAACTTTAGTTTGATTTAGTGAGGGTTCATGGAAAATATTGAAAGATTTAAAAAGTAAATAGATTGGATTACAGTATTTGAATAAAGGTATGCTTTATTATATAGTAATGAACTTACCGTAAATACTGTAATAGTACCGCACTCCCCTCGTACAGTCGCGTAGTCGCAAAAGTTTTTTAGTATTTCATTTTTTTCAAAGCGCCCGTACTTTCAAAAAATGTGTCTTTGGTATCAAAAAATAGCCCTGAATTTCAGCTATTTTTTGATACCTAAGCGAGCATTGTAGCATAAACCAGTGTCGAGAAACACTCGTTCAAAGCTAGACTACGCAACACTTCGCACCGTCATTATGGGGGTGGGGTACTATTACAGTATTTACGGTAAGTACTAAGTATAGTAGTGAAACTTTCAAACAACAGTACTAAATGCTTGACCCATTGTCTTCTTCAGACTCCATTTCCTACTCGAAAAAAGAAAGACAAAGAGAAAGGCTTGGGTCAACAATGTGTGTGAAAGATCCTCTTCTTTTTCTCCTTCGAAAACAAAACGATCTCTTTTCTTTTCGACTATATTTTTTTTGACCGTGGCTACGGATTTATTTTTAGCAAATACTTGAGCAGTTTTTATGAGAAAAATGGGGCAATAAGAGGAGTGGAAATGGAGAAAATGTGGATGTGGATGAAGCATGGAGAAAATGTGGATGTGGATGAAGCACAAGCAATGAAAAGAACTGCACAAGCAGTTCTTTAGAGCAGCAGCAGCTTTCTGAATCTTTTGATTTCATTGTTCTGATAGAATAGGACACTTATAATGATTTTCAAAGGCTATGCGAGAAGATTTTCAAGGACGAGTGCGTTAGAAGAGTGCTAAATTGCTTCACTTTTTTTATGTAGACGTCTAGAGCCTGATTTTCTTTAGTCAAAGTTCAAAGTCTAGGTGCATTTCCGCATTTGGAGCGCAAAGTACACCTATAATAGTAGAATGAAGAGAAGAATTGAAAACTTGACAACTTTGACTAAAGAAAATCAGGCTCTAGAGGTCTACATAAAAAGTGAAGCTATTTAGCAGACTTCCAGACATTTAGCAGACGAATTTAGCAAATTTGGCTAGGATAAAAAGAAGAACTTGATGTTTTTGCAAGAAGCTTAATGATTTATCTTCGTGGATGTTCACCTATTTCTTGAATCTTTGAGAAAAATCTCTATGAAATCCGATATTTTATTAGCTCTTGATGGGAGGTTTTTTCGAAAAGTTGAAAGGAAAAGAAAGGAGATGAAAAAAGGGTTCAGGCTTTGAAATCGGTGGTTTAGTTTATTCCAAAGGGTTTTAAATTGTGCCTGTCTACCATAATCCAGTTAGATCTGTACCTAATTATAGCTACCGTAGTTGCTTAGTTGCTCCGTTACTTAGTTGTCGTTACCGTACCATGTAAAGTTATTACAGTTGGTGTAAAGACTAGCATCAACTAACAACTAATTGAGATGCAGGTCTACAAATATCTGCAAAGATTAAACGTTAAAGAGATAAGCTGGGTTAGGGTAGCCGAATCGCTTTAGAGCGCCTACTCAAGTTGGTGTAGAAACAATTCAATTATTCAAGTTATTGTTATGGAAGCTATTCAGTACTTTTATTATTATTTTAGTACAGTACAAGTTATTCAGCTATTCGGTAGCTCAAGTGGGTTTTTAAAAACTAACTTTTCTTCAAAAATCGTTGGCAATAGTAGGAACAAATGAAGCATTGACCTCTGGCTGTTTCTTTATAAAAAAATCACTGAAGTGTGTTATTCTAATTTGTCGGTAAGTGTGAAAGAAAAGAAGGTCATCG